GTCTTCTTGTCACGAGATATTGTGAGAGTTTCCTATCTGTAATGTTGTGTCTCTTGTACATCGATATTTGGCTATTTGAGTTCATGTAAGCTGAGTCTCAATTTGTTGGCGAAAGTCGACTGTAGTAGTGACGAGACTCTACAAGTAGCATGATGTCGTATACTCATTACACCTTTTGACTATCAGCTCACTTATTTCATAGTCACCAGTAGGGTGTTTATCTCTCGATTTTATTAAAACACGTACACTCGTAATACCAGTGAGTGCTCAAAATTATGACAGTAGCATGGTGTTGATAATTGCTTGACACCAGTGGGGTGTCCCAAATCTCAGCACCAGTGGGGTGCTCTCATTTTCTTGGCACGACAATCTCATGGCTTAGCTTGAAAATAAAACTGGATTTTGATGGCTTTCATTTTTGAGAAAATAAATATGTTTAAAAAAAAGAATCCGAAGTGGCATTTGTTATTTTGATAATGAAAAATCATTGATGCAAAATCTTAAATTAAGATTGATACTATTCACCATAATGCTCCAGAGAGGTCGAAAGTTGAAAGATCTTTTATTCACGACGATGGAAGCAAAAGCGATACAAATTTTAACAAGGTAAACTGTCTCGATTAGTTGATGATAATCAACATCATCCATGCATTGAGCTTTGCTTCGTGGCTTTCCTAATGATTTTCTTGATTGGACTGCAAGTTGTGGTTGCTCTCCAGCAATGAGTCATGATTTTCTTCAAATTTTGGACGAAGCCTTATGGAAAATGCTCACCTGTTCTTTCATTTCTTCAAGTGTCGCTAACCTTCTTTTGATGAAGTATAATTCCCTCTATAGTGACTCCAAAATGAGCATAACTTTGGATCCCGTCGATGTTTAAGGATTTGAATTTTCCTTGAGGAAGAGCAATTTTGAGGAAACCTGGGTTGTCTCAATATTGTCAAATTATTTCCGTTCTTTTTATGATGGTGTATGCGTGATGCTTATGCAAAATGTTAATGATGTATGAATTCAAATTCATTTGTCGTCTCATGCATGCGTTTTTAATCTTCTTATGATAAGTTGTTAATGAGTGAATGAAAATCTTATGAGAGAATGATGTTTATGAATTTTGAAAACGTTTTTCATTCATGCAATCACACAGTTTTGCGAGTAAAAGACAAAACGCATATCATTATGTTGTAAGTAAACATACATTTAGATAAGCAAACATATATCATTACATCATTACCCTATTTGGTAGACCTAGGGCTTTCGGATGGCGTACCGACATGGTTTTAGGGTGGCTTTGGGGATTGTTTTGGATGGTCGAGGGTAGCTTCGAAGTTTACTATATGCTGGTTAAGGAATTCCTAGGGATTTGGCTCCCAAGTTGTATCCCGCCCTAGCTCTTTCAAACTGGCTGGATACCTCGAGATCATCCTCGGATCCGAGTTCAACTTGGTTAGAAAGTTTTGCGTGACTACCACTATTGTGGATGTCACGGTACTCCTTTCAATTTTCTAAAAGGATAGCTCGGGTATAGAGCTTTTATGCATGAATGCAAAATTAAATTGCGAAAATATAATTGCGCAAATAAGAAAGTAAACACCCAACATTTAATAGGAAAATAGAAAACTTATCGAACTTAATTATGTAGCTTGACTCTCGAATTCCCCAGCGGAGTCGCCAACTGTCGCAACCGTCCCGTCCGGGGGGGTCCGAATGTCGTCGCGTCGGCATTTTTGGGAGTCGCCATCGATCTTATTTGGAGTGGATCGAACACTCTTCGGTCGGCTCTAACCTTAGGGTCAGAACCGAGATATGGTCTGCAGTTAAGAGATATGGGTTCGGGAGTACGGTTACGTGTGGGGAAGTTAAGCAACACCCCCACAACGCCCTAAATCGGTACTACTTAAGTTTGATAAGTTTTATATTAATTGGGTGTGTTTTTAGTAATAATTTTTCAATTTTTAGGGTCCCACTGGACTATTTAAGAAATTAAATCGTATTAATTGTAATTTAATTATACGTCCACTGACGTAAAAGATAAAGTTAATTGGTTAGTTGGACTCGAACCTTATCGGTTGCCTACGTACCCGTAAGACGGGATCAAAGTCCACGTAGTTCGTTAGAACTTTGATAATTTATTGTAATCACGTTCCACTGATCATGATTTTCGTATTATAATTTTGTTAATAATAAAAATGCATTTAGATTAACATGAGGTTATGACGATAGATGCAAGTATTTTAGTTATTAGGAAGTATTGTGACGTATTGAAGAAAACGAGATAAACTTAATCCGCAATTCTACATTTCGTATTAAGGATTTTGAAGGAATAAAATTAAGCGGAAAGGTTAAATTGACGGATGATGGGCCAGCAGCCCAACTGGTTGGCCTACTAATCGGTGCGTCTTTGCCCCGAGGACGCGGGTTCGAACCCCCTCCTGCAGAATTTATTTTTGGTTTCTCGTTTTAGTGTAGAGATGGGGGGAGGGCAGCTTGGTAATTACTCAAAAGGACGGTGGCAAGGCCACGTAATTTGTTAGAAACCCTAAGGGCATTTTAGTATTTGTAATTAATGAGGTATATAAACCTCTCTAAGCAAACCCTAATCTATCCTAACCAAGAGGCGGCTGCCTCCACTCTCCCTCTCTCTCTCTCGGCCGATTCTCTCGTCCTCTCCAGAACCAACCAAAAACCCTAACCCCGATCCAAATCCGCCGCCGCTCTCGTCTCTCGTCCCTCATCTCTCTTCTTCGAACGAAACCGCCGCCATCTTCTTCTTCCTTCCTTCCCTACCAGAGAATAAAAACCAAAAACCCTAGCCTAAATAAAACCTCACACAGCCGCCATCATTCCCTAAACCACTCGCCTCGTCCGAGCTACGAGGACGACGAGGATGGCGACATGCGCCGCTGGTGGTGATAAAATCGAGTTTTGAAGGTTTGTTTCCGTTTGCATGTCCGTTTAATGGTTTTATTTGATATTTTCGGTTTGGATTCGTTTACGACCTTGTTTTGATTTTTTTTTTGTTTATCTTTGGGGTTTGACGAGGGGAGGAAAAGAGACGGCGGAAGGCGGCGACTGTGAGACGATGGTAGTTGGTGACGACGGTGACATGCGCCGCCAGCGATGGCAAGAGTAAGGTTCGTTTCCTTTTTGAACGATTTCTATTTGCTTTCAGACTCGATTTTCTAAGGTTTCATAGATCTGATTCCTTTTTTTTTGTTTATTTCCGTAAAAACTGAACCGAGGCCGAAATGGGACCCTCGATCTACCGTCCCCTTTTTCGATCTACTCTCTTTCGTAGAAACGATGAGGATGGTGAAGAGATCTCGGTAAGATATTGTTTGCATGTGGGATTTTGTTTGATTTTAGATTCAAAATTTAGGATCTGATATTTTATTTTGGTTTTTTTATTTATGCGAGGGTTTTGGTCGAGGAGAATGTAGCGTTGGCCGGCGAGGTTTCCCGGCGGCGATAGGCCGACGGCGACACAGGTAGGGTTTTTGTTTCGTTATATATATATATACATATATTTTTTAATTTAATATTCTTTCAATTAATTCTGACTTCTATTCTTGTATTGATGCAGGTAAAAGAACAGATCTAGGTAGGTCTCACTATAACTCTTTTAATTTGAGATTTAGAGATTTAAACTAGAAGGTGGATTTTACTATGATAGGTCTAGACTAGATGGGATCAAGTATAGGTATTGGAAAACAAGGCTGTTAACGAATTTGGCTATCTGGAATTTTGTTTTTATTTTAATGTTTTAGATTAGTTGTGGCTATTGATATGCTTAGAGTTTGTGAAAAGAATTTCCTTTGATAGAAAACTAATTGACATGAACTAGAAATGCTAATTTTGACTAATAATAAATCACTTTTGCCTATGATTTTGCTGGAGATCGGACTAAATCATTGCTTGTGATTTTGATTGGATTGTTATTTTGGTTGATTTAAAAACTGGTTAGAGTTTGTGAATCTGAAATTTTATTGCGTTTATGGTGTTGTTTTCGTTAGTTCAAGATCTAGGTTGATCCATGGACTTCTAAAAAGTGATTTTTTATTGTAAAATAAATTTAGTATTTAGTTGTACTTTAATTCGCATATATATATGGCTACGGGTGTGGGAAATCAACATGGCAGAAAGTTAAAGTGAAGCATCCGATTTCACTCATGGTTAAGTTAAATTGGCATAATAATTATAGCATAGACAAAGCTAATAATACGATTGACAAAAAAACAACTTGGATGAAGGAGCTTGAAGAAACTGATATGAGCAGATCTTTGGTAAATAGAGTGGAGCTTGTAAAATAAAAGTCTTGCATAAAAATGGGCAAGTAGATGGATGATTATAACGTCATTGGTATTGTAAACTAGATGAAATGACAGAAGATCGGATTAAGAAGATGAAACTAGAGTACTAATACCAACCTGTTTGGAGTTTCTATGGAGTCTTCTCCTTCAAACTTGTAAATCTGCTCCTCGATCTCGCAGTCCTTCCCCCGAATTTTTGCCTATGAGCAAGAATTGCAGAAGAGTGTTTGATCTCAAATTCTATTTCTGTAGGAGTGTTTTTTTTGCTGCCTCCAAAATCGTCCCCCTTCAAAGAGCCTGAAGAGCTCACTTATACCAAACCAAACCACCACGTGTCACTACATGATTCGTCCATTTTTTTAATATGACTTTGAAGAGTGTGCCTGGTCGGCTGTGGACAGGATTTGGTTAGACCGATTTGGTCAAGGTCGGTTTATGGTTATACTTTTCGGACCGAACTGGTTAGGCTGAGTTGGGCTTTGGGTTTTGGGCCGGCTTGGGCTTGGGCTTAATCAGATCTGTAATGGGACTAACTGGTCTCTTCTCATTTTTTCAGGTATCTGGGCTTCGTTGATTGAAAAAGTTGGGCCAGTGGACCAGGTTCATGCCTCAAGGCCCAAGTGCTTCTCTTTTTGAAATTATATATGTACAAATCAAATTGCATAGCCCAAATTTTGTAGAGTTAGCATTAGTCATTTAATTTTTGCTTTATTCAGAGTACCCAAGTTGTACAATGTATCAACTTTGAATTTTTTATAATAAAGCTCATTCCGCTATTCAATTTGTCCCATTACCAATACCAGATCCAAATCCAACTCGAGCAACCAAATTTGCACTATAGTCATTTCTCCCTTCTAAATGAGAATTTATATTTAAGATTCGCCACTGCTAATCTTAACTTAAACTGATCCTATCTTAACTAACTATGCCCTAGAATCGACTAGGAGCAAATTTGATAATTGTTGATTCATATTGACTTGCAACTGCTAGTCTCAACCAAACTATCTTCAACTTCTATTTAAATATAATTGTAGTATGACGTGACAAAATTATTTTCAATAAAACAATTATCTCGGACAAAATGTGGTGTCTACAAGCACTCCCCCTTTTTAGTCCTAAAGTTGACGACTTGACGGTGACTTCATGGCGATCACCCCCACGTCTCCCATCCTCCCAGTGCCCAGTCTCGACTGAATACTCGCCAGCATTTCGGTTCATCATAGTGACTGTGTGACGAGAGCTCTTCCGATTATCTTTTTCCATTATTTTTGTGACGTAATCGGAGTGTACCTTACCCTGTGCCTCCCTCTTCTCACACCAGTGGAGACGGTTGACGAACCATCTGTTTGTTTTCCAGAATGTCATCTCAACAATTGCAGAGATGGGGAGTGCACGACATTCCCTATAGACGTTGTTGATACTCTCGCTTGAGTTTGTTGTGGCAATACCCCATCTGTGACCTCCGTCCTTATGAAAATTCCACATTTCAAGGTCATGTTGATCAAGCCACTGCGCACCTTCGGGGCATATTTGACGGATATTCTGCATCTTCTCTTTAAATTTCTTCTCTTGGTACGCGACAGCTGATGAATATAAAAAAAACGTCAGATAAGCCAGATCGACCTTATTGCCAATACAAGTACACTCGTAAGACTCTTAGGAGAGGTATACATCTCCTTAGAAACACAGTCTTTTTGACAAAAAAGGGGGGATCCGAGGATCGCTTAGAACCCGATTTTCCCAGGTCATGGGGGGATCATGATGATCGCTTAAGTCCCCATTTCCTTAGACATGCATTTCTTTATAAAGAGTCTAGATAAGTGTTGTATTGTATTGAAACACTCCATACTTTTATACAGTTGAAAAATTTACAGATACACAATTAATTAGAACGCTTACCGATCCACCATATACTGTCAGCAAGCTTCTTTCGCTTGAAATGATGGTTCCAGTTGCTCTTGAAATGCCGTATGCACCATCTCTGTGACCAGTTCCAGGCTGGATCCAAGCCTAAGATAGCAGCCCGTATACCGGCGTGGCGATCTGAGATGATAGTCAGGTTCGTCCGCCTGGTGAAATGGAGCTGAATTTGTCTGAAGAACCATCCATAGCTATCGGTATTCTCTCCCTCCACAATGGCAAAGGCTAATGGATATACTAATATATTTGCATCTGCTCCGCTGGCAATCAGTAGAGTACCCTTGTACTTGCCGGTAAGGAATGTTCCATTAACTTGAATCACAGGAACACAGTATGGAAAACCATCAATACATGGCTTGAAGGCCCAGAAAAGAAGCTTGAATTGGCGATTGTTACCAGGCACCGGCAGTTGAATTTCTTCATCTTGGTAGCGAGGCGAGAAAATGGTGCCAGGGTTAGACACCTCCAACGCCAAAATCAATTTGGGAAGGAATGCATATGATTCTTCCCAGTCACCAAACACGGCAGCCATTGCTTTCTGTTTCCCATGCCACGCTTTCTTGTAGTTAATGATATAACCATAACGACTAGAAATGTGGGCGATGATGGTTTTGACCTTCAGGTCGGGCTGCTCCTCAATTAGATGTTTGATAGCCGCGGCAACCACCCTTGATTTAAACTGTCGATGGCCTTGGGATGTTATTGATGACACACATGTGTGTGTGTTCACCGCTCGGGATATGACCCAATGGCCGACTCTCTTGCTCTTGATGGCCCGGACCCTAGCTTTGCATCCCTCATTTTCATTTTTGCATCGAACCATCAGCCTCTTTGTGTCGGAATGGGTTGTTTGCCATTCAAAACTCCGAGTCATTGCTTCAGTGGAAATAGCGTGTCGGACCTCATTCTTTGTTGCAAATTGTTGGCCCTTCGTAAAGCCAGTTAGTGGACCCCATACTGGCACATCTGGCGGGTCCATGTCGGCATCAACATACCAATCTTCATTTTGAATGTGATTGTAGTATGGAATAGGTACACGGTCGTGAGCTACCTCATCACCATCTGCGTCTGAATATGGACCGTAATCATCAGCACCTTCCAGCGGATCGTCGCTGTCTGCACTAACTTCGCCTTCCTCTTCTTCAACCTCAGGGTCACTAACTGGACTTGGATTGACCTCTTCTTCCATCTGATTATCAGCATGAAAGGCACCTTCACCTTCACTAGCTCCGTAATGGTAGTTGTGGTAACTAACACCGCTTTGATAGAAGTTGTACTCGGGTGGGTACTGGTAGCCTGCTTGTTGGTTGTAATCCGCCTGTTGAGCTTCTTCTTCATATGAAGGGAAGGATTGATGACTTCCTCCAGTTCCATGATGATACTCCTGCCTCCAGCTCAAATCTTGGAAATCCTGGTGGGGATGATCTTCGTATAATACACTCCCACCGTGGATACCAGATGTTTGGCCATCTTCAGAATGACCTACACTGCCTTCGACGACCTCGGTGTAAACGAACATCACAAAGGACAATGAAAAGTAATTAAGTTACTAACATAAAATCACAAATGACAATGAAAAGTAATTAAGTTACTAACATAAAATCACAAATGACATTGAAAAATAATTAAGTTACTAACATAAAATCACAAAGGACAATGAAAAGTAATTAAGTTACTAACATAAAATCACAAAGGACAATGAAAAGTAATTACGAAACAAACTTACGAATTAACGTTAATCGCAAAAACTAAATAATTTAAAGCTGAAATTTTAAGAAGGAAGAGGAGGAGGTGTGAAGAATTGAGTTCTCTGAAACCGCCTTTTATAGGAAAATTTTGCAGCAAAACCGCTGGGGGGGAGCGGTTTTAGGTATGCCATGCAGCCCTACCAGCCCTACCCCCTGCATGCCGACATGTCCGACATGTTGGCTGTCGGGTGACCAGGCACAAACCGCGCCTTGGGGGAGCGGTTTATGTCCTGACATTGTAAACCGCCGCTTGGGGAGGCGGTTTGTAATGCCGACATTTAAACGCTCCCTCTTGAAGCGTTTTGTGGTAGGGTTAGCCTATAACCGCGCCTTCCAGAAGCGTTTTTTTCTGGAAATTAAAAACGCTGCCTGGAGGCGCGGTTATAATGTAAAACGCTGCCTGGAGGCGCGGTTTCATTAAAAACCGCTCCTTAGAGGCGCGGTTTTATATAAACGATGGTATTTTTGGAAATTATTTGGAGTGGGTGGTATTTTTGTAATTTTTTTTAAACAGTGGTAGTTTTGGATTTTTTTCCCACAACGTGGCTGTCCAATGTTGTTTTAGTGCCTAAGGCGACGAGGGACTAGAGGATGTGCGTGGATTACACCAGTCTGAATCGGGTATGCCCCACAGACACCTTGAGGACACATGACCTACGCCTTAACCCTTTAAAGTGCGTCTTTGGGAAAGAGGCGGGGAAGTTCTTGGGTTTCATGATCACAATGCGCGACATCGAGGGAAACCCCAAATAGGTGGACGCGATCAGGCGCCTGCAACCTCCGCGCACTCCTAATGAGGTACAAAGCCTGAACGGACGACTGGCCACTTTGGGGCGCTTCATACCCCGCTCGGCAGAAAAGGGGGAACCCTTCTTCCGAGCACTGAGGAAGGTCGCACGATTCAAATGGACGGAGGAATGTGATGAGGCCTTCGAGCAGTTAAAGACCCTGCTGATTGCACCCACCGTTATGACCGCCCCAAGGAGGGGAGAGATGCTTTACATGTACATCGCGGTCTCAAGAATGGCCGTGAGTGCGGTGCTCGTATCCAAGGAAATGGAGAATAGGGAGGAGAGGCCGATATACTATGTGAGCAAGGTGATGGCGGGGGCTGAGACGCGCTACGCGCCCATTTAGAAGGCAGGGCTGGCAGTCGTAACGGCGGCGGAGAAGTTGCGTCCTTACTTCCAGGCGCATTCGGTGACGATCCTCATGAACCTTCCGTTAAAAAGAACGTTGGGGTCCATGGATGTCGCAGGGCGTATGGTCAAGTGGGCGATGCAGCTGAGCGAGTATAACATAAGCTTTGTGCCCCGCCCCGCGATAAAGGCATAGGTCTTTGCAGAGTTTGTGGCTGAAGGGGTAGTGTGTGTAGCGGAAGAAGCGGAAGAAGTTTGGCAAGTTTATGTGGACGGCGCGACAAGTAGGACGGGCGTCGGAGCAAGGATAGTAGTGGTGAGCACTCTGAGGGCAACGCACGAGTTAGCCCTGCGCTTTTCAACCTTAAAAACCAATAATGCGGCAGAGTACGAGGCGGTCATCGCAAGGCTGCACATGCCAAGGGAACTTGGGGCTCAGAAAATCCAACTCCGGTCGGACTCCGCATTGGTGGTGAATCAGCTGAACGGAATGTATGAGGTCAAGGAGGAAGCTCTGAACTCCTACGTGACTATGGTAAGGGCTAAAAGCGCGTGGTTTAAGAGTGTCGAATTCCTCCACGTCCCCAGAGAAGAGAATGCCCATGCGGATGCCCTCTCTAAACTCGCCACAACAACTGACTTCGACGAAGATAGGCAAGTCATCGTCACCAAGGAACACCCCACGCCCGAGTCAACCATAGGGGCAATCATTGAAGATGTAGAGGGGGAAGGAAGTTGGATGGCGCCAATCAGAGCAGACTTAGTACAGGGGGTCCTCCCGGAAGATGGTAGGGAAGCATGGCAAGTGAGGCACAAAGCTGTGCGTTGCACGATGATCAATGGCCAGATGTACAAGCGGTCACACTCGGGTGTCTACCTAAGGTGCCTTACCGAGGCAGAAGGTAAAGAGGCAATTGAGGAGGTACATCAAGGGGTGTGCGACATGCATGCGGGGGTCGGAGCCTGGAGAAAATCTTATTGAGGCAGGGGTACTACTGGCCAACCATACGGACGGATGTAACGAAGCATGTTGCCACCTGCCACCAGTGTCAGATATATGCCAATGACATTCACGTTCCAGCTGCGCCCATGCGGGGGAATGTGGGCGCATGGCCATTCTCGCAGTGGGGTATGGACCTATTGTGGTCATTCCCCTAAGTGCCCCGGGCAGATGAAGTACTTGATAGTGGCGGTGGACTACTTCTCCAAGTGGATTGAAGCTGAGCCCCTTGCGTCCATAATGCAGACGCAGGTGCGTCGGTTCACAAACAGAAACATCTTCACTCGGTTTGGGCTACCAGAGGCAATCGTAACCGATCATGGAAAGCAGTTTGATTGCTAGCAGTTTATAGACTTATGCGACGAGAAGGGGGTCATATTGGGCTTCTCATCGGTGGCGTATCCTCAAGGGAATGGACAGGCAGAAGCTGCCAACAAGAGCATATTGCACGGACTGCACACGAGACTTCTAGACGCAAAGGGCAGATGGGTCGAAGAGCTCCCGTGCGTGCTATGGGCGCATCGGACGACATACAAAGTGGCAACGGGGGAATCCCCGTACAAAGGCAAGTGTAAAGCGCCCTAACTACATGCGCCCAAAGGGAAACTCATCAAAGAATTAATGATTGAATGACCACCAAGGCAGATGTAAAGAGCCCTAGTCACATGCGCCCAAAGGGAAACTTATCAAAGATTTAATGACCACCAAGGCAGATGTACATCGCCCTAATCACATGCGCCCTGGCTAAGTAACAACGCGCCCTAAGATCATGCGCCCCAACTCAGATACGTCAGAATCAAAAGCGGAAGAAACTGGGTATTCATGCCAAAGTTAGCAAAATTCATGTTCAAAATGAGGGATGACAAAACAGTAGGCACATGTGCCTTAAAAAAACAAACAAAAAACATCATTGGCTTCATTCCTCGATGTTGACCTCCTCGTCATCCACCTCGACCTCCACGTCTCCCCCATCGCCACCATCACTAGGCGCAGTGCCATCCGCAAGCGAATTCACACCAGCACCCGCCTCTGCACCATCCTCGACCGAAGCTTCAGCTTCCGAGGCGCCTGACTAGTTCTCCATGGCGGACACGACATACTCAATAAGAGCAATCGTGTCGAACGCCACATCCGGATAGTCGGCGTGGAACTTGGCCCTCAGTATCTCCACTGTGTGGATTACAGTGTTAGCCAGAAGGTCTTTGCCAGCGACCGAGTCCGGATAGTTGGCCAAGTCTTGGTCCAATTGTTGCACGGCAGCATGGGACCTTTTCAGCTCATCCTTGTAGTGCGACGAGACTCTTCAGCTTCTTATTGGCCTCTTCCAGGCCTTCGATGGTTTGGCGGAGCACGCTCTTCTCCTCTAATAGGGCTTCGCGCTCCTGCGCGAGTGCGGCGTTTCCTTCCCGGAGCTCCTTCTCCAATCCTTCCCACTCGGCCTTATCCGCCTCGGCCTGCGCCTTAGCCTCCTCATCAACCTCAGCACAAGTTTTGAGGCGCTCGACGGCCAAATTCGCCTCCAAGTCAGACTTGGAAACGTCCAGGTCCGCGCGCATGCGCTCAGTAGAGACAGGCATTTGTGCCCTCTTGAGCGATCTTGGCAATCTCCCGCGTGGTGACCTCACACAAGAGCATCATCTGAGGCGCACAAACACAAAGACAACCAAACAATTATTAACAAAGGGCAAAGGTACGATCAAGCAGTCAAGGAGACAAAGGAAAGTTTCATGCGCGTCATCACAAAAAGTGTTACCTGAACGCTCATGTTGGCCAGCTTCAGCCAGGGTTTCGCGGAGATCAGGCCGTCTAGATGCTCCACAACATCATAATGCGCCCTCGCCATCTGAACAGATCGGGCAATTCCTTGGCCCCCTTAACAGGGACGTCCACCGGCACCTTGACAAGAGGGCGTCGGGACAGGAAGTATGGGGGAATCACCTGGCCAGTGTGCTCCCCAATCGTTGGCTCCACCAAACTTGGGGGCAGACCAGTCCCGCTTGCAGTGGAGGTCTTGGATTTCTTCTCATGACCGCGCAGAGTACCACCCGCCCTCTTCCGAGACGCGGCGGATGAAGGAGAGGGAGGAGTGCTCATCCCGGCGGTCTTCCGAGGCATGGAAGTGGAGGTTGGAGTAGAGGTGGTTGAAGCGCGACGCTCTACTTGAGGTGAACTATGGCCTGCCCCCTCACCTTTGGAACGAGCGTGCAAGGGGGAGGAGGCGCGCGCTCTCGATGAGGTGCCTGCGGATGTTGTACACCGCACCCTATTGGGCTGCGCCCTCTTTTCCCGAGATGCCTGGCTGGGAGGGGCAGCCTGACCAATGTTCACGTTGCGGAGCAGGTCGAGCTTCAACCTGATAAGGTTCGTCACCGAGGTGAAGTCGGTCCCTACACCATGTACAAGAAAAAGAGCGGCCAGAGAAGCGCACATGCAACATTAATAAGAAAAGCGCACAAGCAACATTAGTAGAGCGCATGGGCAATGTAGTCAAAAGCGAGTTTCTACGTGGAAATGTTATGGTGATCTAGAAGCGTAAAATCGTAAGTTTTTAAGTTTTAAAGCGGAGTTTTTCACTACATAATTTGTAAAAACTGAGATTTTGTGTAGAAGCGTTTTAGTGACCTAGAAACGTGAAATCGTAAGTTTTTAAGTTTTAAAGCGCGATTTTGACTACATTGCGCGTGAGTAACAGAAGGGCGCATGGCCGGTACCATCGCCGTAGAATTCGGCAAGAACGCACGCATATTCATCCGATGACTCGAGATCAATGGGCTCGACGGATATGCACTTGGCCATTGCCTCCTTACTCTGGTTTAGGGGCTCCACCTTGTTAAAAGCTAATCGATTCCCCAAAGACCACTGCGAGGTCGCAGGGCGCTCACTCTGAAAGAAAGGAACTTCACGCGGTTTGACGAAGAAATAGGAGTCAAACCACGTGCGCCCCATCTTCACGCAACTGCTATGAAGCCATACCCCAGCTCCGTGCGCCTTTGTAAGCTGAGGAAGTTGGGACTCTTGGTCATTTTGAAGAAATGTTTGAAAAGCTTAAAGGTAGGGGGAACATGGTGTCGTTGGCACTTGTAGCGGAAAATAATGGTATATAAGATAACGGCGGGAGAAAGGCGCCCAAGGGGGCAATGGAAAGCACCCATGACTCCCTTCAAGGACAAGATAGATGGGGAAGCGCATGCCAAACCGAATGAATTCTTGGTACAGACCCACCCATCCGTCGCCGCACAAGCCAATCCGGGCCTCCGGAGGCGAATGGATGTACCGCCAAGGCGCGGGTAGTTGCGCGGATGTAACATCCCGTTACGGCAAAACCCATATTTCGATCGCTAGAAAATTTCCCGATTCAAAATCGAGCATTTCGACACTATTTCGACGAAAATCGGATTATCGATCGATCGGATAAGTATACGTATTAATTATATATATATATATCAAAAGTGAGTGAGCGGTCGGATATATATATATCCCCGTCCCACCATCATTTTCATTTGCAAGTTTCCTCTCGATACAGAAACCACAGGGACGCGCACAGGGTAGTTTCGAAGAAAATTTCAGAGCTCAAATCTTGAGTTCTACTAATCCAAAAATCCCGTAAGTAATGCCTAATTCATCTATACATCGTGATTTATCGATTTAGAGCTTTAAAACGAGTTTTTGGTTCAGGAATTTCTTGAATTCCCGATAAGCCAAATTAGGGTTTCGGAGTATCCGGAAGCCGGATTGAGCCCAAATTTCATATACGAGCTTACTGCAGCAAGGTAATCAATCCTCTAGTTCTAATCCCTGAATTTCGGCAATTATTTAGGTCGGGGTCCGAATCGCTGAATTTAGCTCCGGCCAGGGTTTGATGTGTTTTTATCGAGAATTTGACCCGGAGCCCAGAACTAATATTGACGAGGATACTGCAGGGGATATTAGGACGGTCTCGGATTTTAATTCGGGGTTCGTTCGTGAAGTGACGTTTTAGTACGGGAAGGTTAAGCCGGTGTTTGAACGGCCAGAACTGGTGAGGGATTAGCACGGCATACCGGGTTTGTCGAATCACGATAATTATATTGATGTTTAGAATTGACCTAGGTGAATTAGAATGGCATGATTAGGGGTGTATGGACTTTTCTGCTATATGATGAATTATAGGCTTCTGTATGATATTATTGACTTGCCCTAAACGATATGGACCTTGTTTATGTTGATGATTCTATATATGTTGCCAGATGTGGGTTTAATTGTGAATATGCCTTATGATGGTTCGAGAAGGTGATTGGATATGATTTTTCATGATTGTTGTATTTGGATGCATAAGTGGGAAAATATATATTCCCTGGTAATATTATGATGTTTTAAGGAGGATGACTTGCACGAGGGTTTATCCCGAGGAAGTGCAATTATACGACTCCTGATTTACCTATGTTGAGCCAATTGTGGCCTGGTCAAGTACATGTGCAAGTAACGAATTATGATTAAGCAAGATGAGATATGAATCATGTATAAGGATGCCGAATATGAGTGTTATGGTCTCACGGTCAACTACATAGTAATTAGGGCTCCCTATGCTATTACTCTATATGATATGTATGATAGTCACACCTCTCATTTGGTGGTGACTGAAGAATTCTTACGAGATATGACCACACCCAGAGCGGTGTCGGGGTATGACTACACCCATAGTGGTGTGGGGTATGTATGACCACATCCAAGGAATGTTGAGGTATGTATGACTACATCCGACGGGATGTGGGGTATGTTTCCCGGGAGAGTTATTAGCATGGGAGTAGCCAGGCGCCTATGATTAAAACATGATAAGATGCATATGCATAAGTCAAGGTTGGTGAGTCTTTTGCCTATTGGGATGTCGGAGGGCTGAGATATGATCCCAGTGCTTTGGCTTGTTTGCTAGATGTATGGTAGGGGTATGCTCTGTTATGAACTCACGATGCTATGATTATCTCACTCAGCTATGAGCTGACCCTCTTTATCCTTTTTCTCTGCTTATGCCATGTGTAAGCAGATCATCAGCAGCAGCAGTAGATAGGTGTATAGGTGGGAGCTGAGCAAGAGTTGAAGGCAAGATGAGGTATGGTCTTCAACTATTCTGTGCTTGGACTACTACCCGGGATTTTGGCCAGTGATCCACACCTTTTTGTAAAAATGTTTTGAGAACGTTTTTCATGTCCATACTAGCTTCGAATGTAGTGTGAGATATCCACAGGTGTGGAAAGTTGATGATATGTGTATATTTTTGTAATTGTGTAAGTTGTGACGATTATAGTATGTATAAGTATGGTATGCAGTTGTGGAATATGAAAAGTGTGACTATGGCTAAGAAAAGCCAATGCATATGGTTGTGAGTATATATGTTTGTGATGAATTATTTTGCAGGATAAGTTGCAAGAACTGTTAGCCCATTACGCGAGTAATTCATGTCGAAATTTTATTTAGGTAAATTTTGATAATTAATATAACACCCGAGATTATTTCCGCTGCAATTGTATGAACAATATGATTAGGCAAAACGTATAGGGTAGGGTGTTACAGCGGACACAACGAGTTTATCCCACCTCACCCCCAACTGTTTGGAGGCATGATGTGGGCTCACATCTTCCACGGGCATCCTCGAGATGTTCTGGGGCGCATAGCCGGGAGGCCACATCGAGTCCCATGGCCGGAACATGTAGTCTTGGGGCACGGATGGGCCTGAGTAAAAGGAAGGGGTAAGGGTAAGGCAAAGAGCGGAAAGGAGGCGCGCGCGTCCACGAAACAAAAAAGGTGCCCGTGCAAAAAAAAATGGGGGGAGAAAATTCGCAGGCTAGAAGGGTGTCAGGGCGTATGAACATCCTTATCCACGGACAACATGGGTTTCTAATCAAGCAGGGAAGAGAGGTGCATAGTGACCAAATCGCAGGCGCATAGCAGTCAAAGAGAACTTAGTGGGAGCGTTGGGGGCTGCGGCGGCCTGGCCCTCGGTAGGCGCCCGAGATCCGGAAGGCGCATTTGAGGCGGGAGGCGCATCTGCAGCAGGCAGAGATTGGCGAGCGGCAGCGGCCTGCTCGTCAGAAGGCTCCAGCGCATCGAAAGGAAGTGGGATTTGTCGAGAAAATGCCATGGCGAGGTTGAAGGCGCAAGATATGGCAGGCAGACCAGAGCAAAGGAGCAGGGAAGGTTAGAGAGAGGAAGTAGAGAGAAGGTAAAAAGGAAGTTGTGAGAACTGTGGAAGGGGATGGGGGATTTATAAGGAGGCAAGGCGAGAGAAAGAGGAAGATGGGGGGGGAGGCGAAGAGACCACACCAATTCGCTCTTGAGTTTGAAATTTGAATTTCTAATTCAAAGCGGATTGGGGGTGGAGAGAAGGGTGGAATTGTAAGAGGCATAATGACACAGAACGCGAGGAGAGAAGGGGGGCAGTCGAGAGAAAAAGAAAAAGAAAAAAATAATAATAAAATGGAATAAAAATATATAGCAATTATGATAATAGTAGTAGTAAGAGCACGGAGGTTATGGGAACCCCCGAAGATGCGTCAGTCCCGATACAAACGAGACGGGGGCGCATGGTAATAGCGAACATGGTGCAGAGAGGCGCACAAACTGGGCGGGGGCAAGCGGTTGCGGATGAAGCACCAGTAAAGATGGAAGAGGCGCGCTCAGCGAAAATAGGAAGGTCGCGCAGAACCCAAATTGAGAGGCGCATGGTGGTCCGAGGAAGGAGATAAGCAGAGACACAGGGAAGAAGGTGAATGCAGTTAGGCCCCTAACCGAGGATGTTAGGCGCCTAACTGGGGGGCAATTGTTGGGGGAATAAGTGTGGGCCAAAGGGGCAACCCAATTGGGAAGGCCCAAGGAAGATCAGTGGGGAGGCATAGGCATGGGCCATCCAGGGCCCAGTCAGAGAAAACCAAGGAAGCCCACGGGAACAAGAGCCGTGGGCCTGAGGGCGCGCGGTGAAAGGCCCAAATGACCAAGGTAGCGCGCGGGACAGGTGGGACCGGACACCTGGCAAGGGGCGCATGGGATAAAGACACCCAACTGTCGGAAGTGAACGAAAAGCTGGCCACATGATGTCATGCGCCTCCGAATCCTGACGAAAGTGTCAGGTGGTCGAGGCGCATGCGGAGGGGCTGTACGACGCATTTATTGCGGACATGACACGAGGCGACAGCGACGAATACCGATCGATCTCGCCCCGGGTATAAATAGTGAAGTAGGTAAACCTCATTTACTCAGTTTTTGCTTCTCTTACTAGAACTGTTCTCCACTTCTCTCTCTAGAGTAAGGATTCTCACTTGGGCGTCGGAGTGCTAACAGACCTATCTGGTCCGCTGGGTGCTTGTGTGTGCAGGCGGAAGTGCGCGTGCGGGAAGGGCCGCAAGAAGCGAGGCGCGTGACATGAAGAGGAGGGTTGTGGGGCATAAACAATTTCAATTTGGGATTCAGCATGATAAAAAGGACGGTGGGAGTCTCGATTTCCGGTTCAAGTTGGGAAGAGAAGGAGAGAGATGTTCGCTATCGATAAGGAAAAAAGGCAAGAAAGAGGGAGTTTATGAATTGACAATAAAAACCTTCCGAACTATGCGGGTCTTTCAGCATATGCTGATGTGGCAAAGGATGTATCTTGACATTGCCTTATAGTAATTTTTAGATGCCATCACCCAGAAAAGAGAAATTACTTTTTAGGGAACTCTAAAAAATTAGCTATACAATTTGATTTATTTCGATAACATATTAGATCTCCACATTCAAAACTGCCATATTTCTCAGACTATCAAAATTTTTAATGCTAATATCTGATTTAGTTCTCTCTCCCGTTCTTAATTCATTGTGGTGTTGTGCGGTTAGTAATCCAGGTAAACAAGGTTGGATTCGATATTGGGGGCAAGTATGATTTGGGGTTAGTATAGTGTGTATAACTTTGCAGATGAGCATAATTAGATTTGCAGAATAAAAAAATTTTCCATTTTTAATATGCTTTTATCTTCTTCGTTCTAATTTGAATTTAAAACGAATTACACAAATAAAATGGGTTTGTTGTGATCTACAAAATGATATTAATTTTCAATATATTTAGAGCAAAAAAAATTTCATACTATACATACCACTCGTAACCACCCTGATACCACTTGATACCACCTTCGTTTTTAACTTAATTTAAAAAAAAATTACACAGAAGAAATGAGTTTGTCGTGATCTATTACATTTACAAATTTCTGGGGAAAAAATTCCAAGACAAAAAGTACCACCCCATACCATCGTGGTACATGGGGGGTAACTAGTGGCTTACGTTGATGAAAGGTGGTAAATGAAGGTTAATATATTTCTACTATCATATATATATATGCTATCATTCTATACTTTGGAGTGTTCATACTACCATAATACACTTCCATACCAAGTTGTATAATATTATGTATATACCAAGTAGCACCAAATAATATGGACCGATAATAAAAGTTTCAATTTTTTTTTCCAAAATATATCATAGTGGATGTCATTTGAAGGTTACAATTAATTTTCTCTGCATTTTTTTATTTCGACTTAAAGTGGATATCATTTTAAAAAACACAATTAATTTTCTATGCATTTTTTTTTATTTTGGACTTAAAGTGTAGTACACATAGTCCGTTAAAATTTATTGAGGAGAATGTTACTAACCACATAGAACACGATAAGCACAAACCCCAGTAAAAGCAATCATAGATGATAAGTATAGATTATGCACCTTTAGGTGCAGTGGACCGCTCCGAACGATTTGCACTGACCGAGGAAGGTATAGCTCTCCAGACGACGAACTAGAATACTAGATGGGATGAGTGGGGTGGGGATCCAATTAATTTCCCACAATTTTACAAGTGCTTCTTCAAGTTGCAAGTACGTGGCAAACGAGCCAATCAGCTTACCATCGACATTAGATTAAGGAAAAACTCATTTGACATTTGGTTCGTTTTACTAGCAAGTCGAATTTAAGGTAAGTCTTGTTCAGTTTGCAAGGTTCATAAACCAGGTCGACTTGGCAGTTTGTTAAGTTTAACTCATTAATTAGCTTATTTTTAGCTATGAGTTGACTAGACTATTTTTTTGTAAAATAAAATAAATAATGTTTTGAAGACATTTTTTTAAAATAAAATGTATGAGTAAGTGATGTGGGTGCACAAAAAATATTATGCTTGGGATCCAACACATGTTCAAATCGATATGGGTGAACATAAAACACCTAGTGGCATGTGAGATTTTTCCTCCGAAGGGATAGAAGAGAAGCACACCAAGAGAAAAATATGTGAATATGAACACTCTTTGGTCAAGATTCATCATGGTTCTCAAATTAAGGAGAGGAATATTACATCACATAGTAGGCATAGATGAAATCTTAAAATGTCGGGACGAAACCTCCATAATGCTTCCTAAATGATCACTACATTATGAGAATCAATCGTCGTTTTCAAATGAGAAGAAGCACAAAAAATATCGTCTCAAAGATGAATACTATATGGTTCGTAGAGGTGTCAATCGGGCGGGTTCGGGCTGGGTTCATTCGGGTTGCGGGTTGGTCGAGTTGCGGGTTTATCGGGTTCGGGTTGATCGGGTTGCGGGTTACTCGGGTTATGGGTCACTCGGGTTACGGGTCAATCGGGTTACGGGTCAATCGGGTTACGGGTCAATCGGGTTGCGGGTCGGGCGGTTCGGGTTGAGGGTTTTACGGACCAGAACATCGCGTTAGTTTTTAGTGATTACTAGTAAGTCGTAAATCGTAACTATATGAAGCTAGCACAATACTCAAAGTTATAGTATTAGTGTCAATAAAACAAATATCAACACAATTGAAAATAATCTTTCTTGTAGCATGAACACCAGCCAAATTGAAATCATCTAGAATTATCCAAATCATCATGCTTATACAAGATTTCTAAACTAGCTTAAATACCAATAAACTCACAAATCTTCAAGACCAATCAAATCATCATGCTAAGTTGAGGATAGGTACAGGGAAGGGAGAAAGAGCGAGTGTGTGTTTGGAATTTGGAGGCTTGCGGGCCAAAAATTTTGAGAGCTAAGATTTTTCCTTTTTTGCGCTTTGTGGCCAAAATTTTTGAAAAGAGGTAGCTACTTTGCCGCTGGAGCTAGGAATGGCAATGGGGCAGGTACGGGGCGGGTATCTCGATACCCATACCCGCCCCATGGCAGGTCGGGTCCAGGTCGGGTAATTTATCACGGGGCGCGGGTCGGGGCAGGTCGACCCATTGGGTATGTAATTTATGCGAAAAACATTGGAAACATTCGTTATTTTCATTAAAAGACCAAGAAAGAAACCATAATATGATAAAATGTAGTTAAATTATTGAAGAAATTAAGGTTTTCACTTATTTACAACTTTATTATAGCTAAAATATAATGTAATAAGAGGAAAATTCTAAGTAATTTGACTAATATTATATGTAATATAGGCAAGAACGGGTCGAGAATGGGGCGGGTCAGGGCAGGTCGGGTCGATGAGAGGTACCCATGCCCGCCCCGCCATGCCTACGGGGCGGGTTTGACCTGCCCAAAATAGGTCAAACAGGTCGGGTAAATCAGGTCAGGTTGAAATTGCCATCCCTAGCTGGAGCAAATAAAAACTTGGAGCCAATTCTACCAAAAATGAAAATTTTGGACCCAAATACCAAAGAATATTTGGAACCAAAGTCTCTTTTGCGCTTGGCGGCCCAAATTTTAGAAAAGAGGCGGTTACGTTGCCGCTGGAGCAAATGAAAATTTAGAGCCAATTCAACCAAAAATGAAAATTTTGGAACCAAAATACATCTTAAGCAAAAAGAATTTATCCCTCATAAAATTGAAAGAAATAATTTATAAATAAATTCTTAAAAGTTCACACGAATTACCGTGACTAAGTATTAATCACGGGAAATGAAGACTAAAACTAAATAATTCCCCGTGATTAGAAACATACAACTAAATACATGAAATTTTCCCGTGGTTATTAATGTACTTTCTAATACGGGAAAAATTATCGTGAATAAGATACCGTGTTTAGAAACCTGTTTTCCTGTAGTGCAATACGAACTATTATGAGTCATGTATTTTTGTTATGATCAGACTTTTGTGAACTATTATTAGTCTTTTTATGACAGGACCATGATATTTGGATTTTAAATCTTATAATTATCTTAATATGCTAAATTAATATTTTATAATGTTATGTGCACTATTAGGTTGATGATGTATTTAAATAAATATTTGATGATATTATATGGTCCGGATGAATCCCAATTATTATATAAAAAAATACAACGCAAAAATACATGAATGAGCAACCAAAAGATGTTTTTCACCCAAGAGAATCGGACGACCTGAATGATGTAAGTGCACAAAATTTAAATAGAAATGCATACACCTCATTATCGTTTTTAGACAACATGAAATGACCGCAACAGAAAATACTCAACCTAAATCAAGATTCCATTTTAATAACATTATTATAATTATAATTTTTATTTATTAACCATCCTTAGTGAACAGTAACAACACCTCATGTTTATATATATAGATATATATATATATATGGGGAGTTCTACGATACCCTAGGTAAAATCCGGGGTATGGCGTACCTTGGCGATCTTGACCGTAAGTATGATCTCGACAGCTGAGATTATTTCTGGTTAATTGATTTATATATTAGTGATTTAATTAAATAAAATTACGGGAAGACTCATAGAATTAGTTTTTCTTTCATTTTAGTCCTCTATGTCCGTGGGTTGGGTAGTTTGAGTTGGGTTGGGTTTTTTCAATATTTTGATTGACCCCAAATTCAACCACCCCAAAACATAAAGCGTACCTCCGTACCTACCCCATCCAACCCTACCCGCACTTCGTTCCCCCAATCCCGACCCTCTCTTCTCCATTTTTGTTTTTATGCTTCGTTCGAACCCTATCCTTTTCAATAGTGTCGGTGCTACCCTAATACCCTATCCTCTTCCCCTGTTCCTCCGTCTTCCGCCGCTAGACGCCGCTACCCCTCTCCCTACCCTTTCTAATCTCCCTTGCCGGCCCCAAATTCATCGCTCACCAACAACTTAGACTCTCCTTGCGGAAGGGATTTCGAATCCTTGCAACCAGAAGAAGAAGGAAGGTTGCTCCTCTGCTCGTTTTTTCTGGCGATTGGCGTTATGGCTTCTCGAACGAGTTGCAGAGAGCTTTGTCGAAAGAAAAAGGGTGACCTCCGCACCGGAGAGAGTCCTCCCACGATGACACAAATGGTGTTTGATGACCCCGACGCCATTAGCCTCGTTTCCAAGTTCCGTCACCAACAGATCAACGGCGGCGCCTCGATGTTCTATCACTGATGATGTCAAACCTTCCTGGGTCAAGTTCTGCGAATTTTGTTTATCGCACATATTTGTTTTAAAACTAGATATGCCATAACCTCAAAATCAATCATAGGGACCATGTTGTATGCTATTATGGAAATAGTCACGCCTGCTTAGTTTGCATCAGGTACAACCTAGCAAGATCCATTTTGTTACAATTCGCATTAATTGTTTACCTCCTCAGCAACCTGGTAAAAGAATATTGAAAAGAAGTAGTAGATAGGAGCTATGTACTGCTTGTTATTCGACTGAGGCGATTTTGGGGATTTATGTGGAGCAAAAAAAACTGAAGTTTGAAATACGAAAAGGAAGAAGACGATCGAAGTGAAGCTTCTGATCGTTTCTCAACCACTCACGAGATGGAATGTGGGCTGACTAGGTATAAGAAGCCCAAAGAAAGATCTTTAAAAGAAGTTGTCCGAAAATGAAGGCTAACGAAGTAAGAATAGGCATTCGGCCCAGAATAAAAGAATAAAAAACAGGTTCATGGTTCGATAAAGTCAATTAGCTTTCACTTTTTTTAATCCTTTGCTAACATCATCACACTTAATAGTTTCCACAAACTTTAGCATACAAGACAAGAAACTTTGGCAACTTAGTGGTTAGCCTAGTAGTTTACTATTAAGTTTGATAGAAAAGGTGTAGGGTTCGAATACTAAGTTCAACCATTATATTTAGTTTTTTTTCTAATTATTAGCGGTTTTATGTTTCTTCTTTGAAATCACTTGTTCACAGTTGATTAACCTCTCCTTCCTAGTCAAGTTTTTGGAAAATTTTTCATTTTTCTATTTATAATTTTATTTTATAACTATTCATAAATAGTAATTCTACACGACATGTCATTTTCGTCACACACCATCGTTGTGCCCACCTCCACCTTGCAACTTTGCGTTAACCCAAAACTAGTACAAAGAACTAGTACATCCCAAAACAAACCTTTGCTAAACCACATGAAAGGGCATTTGTAGCGCAGTCTAGTAACTAAGTTTGAAATTCTGCCTTGACAAACTTATAAACGTCAAAGCTCCATCTTCCGAATGGTTCAATATTCTGCCTTGACACTGATGCGTGTAAAATGGATTGGTTGTTATTATCAAAGAGATGCAGCGTTACTATAAAAAAATTAGTAGTGTAAACGATTTCATATATTAAGACGCATGTAACATAGTATATAACATTATAGTCGAAAAGTGAGACTAGAATATTTTTACATTGATAGAAGTTTGTTGGTTGAGGTAGAATTTCTTGTTCCTTATAAATATATTTATATCCGACACTATCATGACATCGATACCTATGGCCAAGTAATGATGAGGTTATGATACATCAAGGAAGAGCTTATGATATTTTTTTCGGAGAGGATCCTATCACGTGGAATAATTGTTCTTTGTCATTCTAGATGAGTAGTGAAATTCGATTTACCGCTAAAGTACCATAATATTTTTACTTTGAGGATATTAGCACTCGTATTTGATTCCTAGTCAAAGCATGTACAACACTAGTGTCAAGAAGGTTGTTTTGAGACCCTAATTATTTGTTCACTCTCAATTCGGATTATTTGTTGTCTAAATAAGTTGATCGATTGGTTAAAAAGGCCTCGCATTTTTTGGCCATTAAAAAGGCCTCACATATTTTGTACACCACAGCAGGCCTTTTGTACCAGGCCCAATAAGGCCCTTAGTAGATTGGCGACACATCTCCTTTTGGACATTTTTTTACTCTCCCAACACAGATCAATTATGGTAAAGTTGAAAATTGAAAGACTACCTACCAAATCAAGCAAACGATCCATCTGCCTGCTTTTTTCTTTCCCCCATGCGCAGGCTTCTATGTTTTCCTTGAGAAGAAAACTGCACCGCCCTCCTCCTCCCTTCGCTTCCGCATCCCTTGCATGCACGTCTCCGCCTCCGCAGTCAATCCACCGTTGGTCGCTCAATACCGGTCTCCACCTCCGAGCCACCATCGTCGCCTGCCACCGCCGCCGCTGATTCGCTCGAGGGGTTTTGGGAAGAAGAGCGGCGGAAAGTTGCCAGGACGAAAGGCGGTAGAAAGTTAGGGAGAGAGCAGCAAGGGTAGTGGTGGCAAACTCCTCTGGTGGCGGATGCGGTTGTCATCTGCCATTTGACAGAAGAGTAGGCGAAGGAAAAATCCTGTGGAAAAAGGAATTCCAATCATCCTCTTCCTTCCCGATCTGCTGGACTAACCACACGTTGTCGCCGGCCACGTTTCCACCGCCGCAGGTACTTTTCTGTAAATGATTTTTAACTATTTGGTACTTTGTATTAGAGTAGCTGACATAATGTGTTCTTATACTCCTATAGAACATCCACAGTACGTGCAAGAACATAAATTGAGCAGGGTTTCCGTGGTGTAATTTTCTGACAATGGATAATGTATCTCAATGGTACCCGTAAGTATTGTTTACCAACTAATTTAGGACAGTCTACTCCGCTTTCTTTTCCTATTGTTAGCCATTACTAACAGTTTTATTTATAGGGATTTTATGGTTGAGCGTGGTTTCGTTGCAAATCTGACGTATGAGGAAGCAGTAGCTATGTCTAACTTTACGGATTCAATCAATCTTATATTGTTGCAAGAGAATGGTGACGATCAGGTTATTGAAATAAACTTTTTTTTCATTCATCCTTCTCGATCTCGTTTGCACTTATTGTGTTTGTTAATGCTTGTTAATTTTTTTTGAAACTCCATTTCTTCTTTTAAACACCAGGGTACTTCTTACCTCATCTCCAAATGTTCACTGAGTTGAGGACATCATGGTGTGCTGCATGTAGAGTTCATTTGATCCATTTAGTTATTCAACCAACCGAGTATAGAGCAGGAAGTAAAACATTTATTGGAAGTTCTAACAGATGTTAGAGAATTCGAGGAAGAGTCTCAACGATCATAATAAAGAGAGTTTGCGAACAATACCAGGAAAGAGCAAAAAGGCTAGAGGATTTTTGGTGAGATTTCAAGAAGTCAATTGGCCAAGTCTTAGGAGGGAGTTACGAGTCCCATTGTGCGATTGTATCACTAAAATTGCTAAATGATTGGTAAGCAATCTAGAAGTAGTATTGGACTTCGGGAAGCCGTAAGACCATAACTGTGAAGTGGCATTAGTGATATCGTAGAATGTATGAAGTCAAGGAACATGAAAGTTCCTGATAAAGGAGTGAGAATATGTGCAAGCGACTCGTGTTCAAGGATTGTGCGTGGAGGAAAATAGTAGGAAATGCCGAAATAGGAATACAGGAGATAGCAAGGAAGCATTAGGTTGACTACCAGTGGAGAACAATTGATCCATAGGAAGTCCATTGCGAAATTTAGGCACATTTTAAGGTGGAATCGTGCTCATCAAGAATAGTCGAAGGGAGAACCTTATGGGTCAAGGTACATAAGTGAGAAGAGAATATAGGAACCTAGTGGATTATATCGAGAACCAGGGACACCTAGACCTAGAAAGGGACATCAAGGAGAAGAGTCATGGGTAAAGGAGTAAGAGGGATATGGGTTTAAGAAGCATGTTGGGATACCCGAAAGTGAAACTAAGATTACCTATGTGGGTGAAAGGTGGCAACTTCTCTGGTGGAAATTGCTTGGCGGGGAAACTGCACGAGGAATTTCAGCTAGGGTCTAAGCGTGGCAGAATAGATAGTACGAGAACTTCAAATTCAAGCGGCGATAAGGAAGTTCTAAGTTAGTCGCCAAGAGTGAACAAGTAGGCCAAGAGTGAACAAGTTCTAAGTAAAATGTAAAAAGTTTAGGTACTAAAATATCATAATGAAAAATTTTAGGTACCAAAACGTAATTTTCCAATGATATTTTTCGTATAAAAAATTAAATTTTAGGTACCAAAATGTAAAAAATAAAAATTATAGGTACTAAACCGTAATTTGCCAATGATCCATGGATCCAATCCATGAATCCACCAATCTAATTGGATATGGATAAAATGGATTGGATTTAAATGGATTGGATTAGGTGGATATTTTTAATGGATTGATGGATTGGATTGGTGGATTGGATTGAAATTGCCACCTCTAATCATGATTCTTGTAAGGATTCATAAAGTTGATCACAAGCTAGAGAGAGATGCAAAGGATGCCTCTAATGCATACATAAAATAAAAGTAGTAGTATGACGTTTTAGTGCTAAGAAACCAGTTACGAGGAGATGACCATTCAGTTTATGGTTCAAGGATAAGACGAGATATCAAGGAATAAAGTAAGAAATACAAAATTAGACTGTACAAACCCTCGGAGTAAAAATGATTATCACAAGTGAGGCTTGGAGTAATTACAATGGACAAATTTCGAGAACGAAATTTCTATAAGTGGGGAGGAAATGCGATGCCTTGATTTCAACCGAAGTTCAACAACAAGTATTGAATGAGTTGAACTGACGCATCAAACAGTATGGGAATCACACTACCAGGCCAAGTTGTGGAATTAAAGGGCAATGAGTCACTTAAAGTTATACGATTCTACAAAGTAGATGAGGATACCTATTATGGTCAAGAGGAAATATAGGGAGTACAGTAAACTATGAGAGACGAGCAAAGGGAACCATTAATTGAAGTTGATATAGTGAGAATAAATTTTTGACGCAAGAAAGTACAAAAATGGTGTTGAGAGAAGAATGAAGTTTGAACAATTTCAGGGACGAAAATATTCCAATAGGGGGAGAAATGTTACACCCCGTCCTTTCCTTAAATCAAAATGACTATTATACCCTTAGAAAATTCGTCAAATCCCGCCGTGATCGATGAGGAATAAAATTGTGAACACTCGAACACCGGTGTTGAGTTTGACATTTAACGAGAAAATTACAGACGTTACCTGATTTTCAGATTAAACTCACCCGATACCCAATTAATCATGAAATTCCCAAAATATGCCTTAGACTAATAAAACCCTAAACTAATCCTAGAGCCACAGGCACAGCTGCCCAAACCCTCCCAACCTCCCTCCGTCCATATATATATTTTCCCTTACTAAGAAAACCAAACCCCGCCGCCCAGATTTTCTTCCCCGACTCATCAATTCCCTACCTCTCCAAAAATTTGAGAGCCGCAATACCTAGCAGCGTCGAGTGAAGCGCTGGCGAGTTGTTCAGAGGGTCATGCAGGGCAATTCTCATCGATGGAAAGCAAGGAGGTAGTGGAGTCGATGTTTGTGGGATCGGAGGGGTGCACGATGAATATCAACGGGGTACTTGGAGGAGAGATGTACGAAGCATATATATATAATATTCCTTTGGGTCGGCATTAGGAGGAGCCGCCACGCAACCGAATGCAGTAATAGATAGAGGGAGAGCGAGCACCGCCAGAATTATGCTTCATGGATGGACTAGGGTGGGTTTCTCTCAAAGTGAGGGTGGATAGGTCACGAGGCAGTGAAATTGGTAAGGGAAATGGCCATTAAGCTTTGTAAGACTGATATATATTTATAACTTTGAGAGACCAAGCTTTTGATCTCATATACGAGGTTAGTGATTAATTAAAACCCCCTTTGAGGTGGAGCTTACAAGGATGGAGCCTACATGAGCGGATATGCATGGATGATGGATTGGATGATGTGGGTTAGAACGTGGAAACAAACGAGTAGTGCTGCCTTGAGCCAGTCGACTTGAACAGTCAGGTGAGTGTAAAGGGGGAAATTCTACGCCTTACGTATTTTTAAGCAGTTACCTTACGCATTTTAAGTATTTTGTGAAGTGGTTGATATGGTTGTTTATGCGTTTGGTTGATGATATGTGACTTGTTTTAATTATGACTTGAAGTGAATGTTTATTATTTACTTTGAAATTTTAAGAGTATAAGTTATTGTTAAAGTTTAAGAACAAGTTCTTTTTAAGAAGTAACTCACCTTCAAGAAGGTGAAGTCGTTTTACGTGTTTTTAGTCACTAGCGCCAGTCCGTTTTCATTTGAGATTTTGAGATAGAGCAACAGTTATGCTCTTGAGACCTTTGAAATAGAGCAGCAGTTATGCTCTTGAGATTTTAAGATGAGCAGCAGTTATGCTCTTGAGAATCGTGGTGAAGAGCCACCACGATAAGTTTAAGATGTTAGGAGGATGAATCGTTACGACTCTCCTAACTAAGTTTAAGTTTAAGGAAAGCCTGAGTGGCTTCTCATATGCATGAGTTGGGCAACCAAACTAGCTAGTGAGGGATTCCCGTGTCAGTCAAGAATTTAAGTGGAGATTTGAGCTTTAAGAGTATAGTTTTAAGAGTTAAGATTTTTAATAGTGGAAGTACAAAAACAACTTTCACTAAATTAAGTAAAGTGATCAAGTGTTAATAAGATGTTAAACGTAAGGGCGTAGACTGACCCCGTCTCACTCACCAGTTTGAAGAGCTAGAGGAGCAGTTAGTGAGCAGCGTGTTCGAGGGCAACCTACTAGAGGAGGACAGTATAAGCGTCACGGAGGATGCTTAGTCAAGGTTTTCAGTAGCAACAACATTTGAGATTATTAGTTATTTACATTTATGATTATGAGTATAAATTGGAGATCATTTTGAGATTTTAAGTATTGAGTTTTCCCATGTGTTAGGGTGTTGCTTTGAACTACAAGAGTGTGTTATCAGTATTTTATTTATGAAAATTTTCCAGCTTTAATTTAAATTATGAATATTTAATTTTTCAAGGGCATTTTAGTAAAAGTAATGCTCGGCCAAGCAAGGGTGTTACACCCGCCACAGACGAGCAGATTGCTCATTGGCATTTGAATTATGCGCGGGTGAGATCATGAATTTTAGGTTCTTTTAAATAATTATCCATGGCAGATGGAATAATGAAAGCAATTTACTCGCCAATTGACAGTATTGTCTTTTATGTATGATTAATTGATTTTGCAGATTTAAGATACTTCATCGTGACATCTTCTCAACCACCAAATAAAAAAGCGAAAAACAACATTGTTTTCTTACTATCAACATAAGGAATCTCAAACATATCAGACAGAAGAAGTCCCTCCTAACGAAGGTCAACCATATTCCTCTCCAGTTCAAAACCAATCATCTACTTCTCCTCTATCTGGTAATTTACATCCATCATCTGACGGTGGAATTGAAGTTGAAATAGATCCAGGAAAGAGGAAACAAATAGGGGTGACATTCGGTTTTTCTGTTAACGGCTTAACCAGTAACCGTATCGGTAACTGTGATTACCGGATAAACCGTTAACCGTAACGGTTATCGGATGAAAAGTTTGGGACGGCGGTATACCAGAAATCGAGTGCTAATTAACCAACGGGAATCCGGTTGTCCGATACCGGATTTGCAGGGCTACTAGCGATTCTCCTAGTTAAAATTGGTTCTCTAGCCTATTAGGAAAAGGAATTACAATTACTAATATCAGTCCTACTAATTAATTATTGTGCTCTCTCCCCTCTCGCTCTCTGCCTGGCGTGTAACACCCGGTATTTTCGATTTAGGTTCGACTATAATACGTGATCGGTTAGATTGACGGTTAGGTACTAAGAGTTACAACCGCGGATTAGAAATAATAATAATTATTATTATTATAACATTATTTATTTAAAAAAAAAAAGAGAAGAAAACAAAGTGGGGCGGCCAAACCCTCTCCCCTTTTAATAAAACCCTAGGCCACTCTAAAATCTCAATACTAACCTAATCCCCGTCACTTCTCCATCTTAATTCTGTCCCATGCTGCCACTAATTACCCGAGTAGACTAGAGAGCCAAGTTTATGCAAAGGGAGTGGGTTTTTCAAGGAAGCGGCAGCGAAAGCGAAAAAAGAAAGAGGGAGTAGTCCAGGCGAAGGGATTGATATACGTGGCAGCTTCAAAATCGAAGGGGGGTTTTATGGAGTCCGGATCTGGTGACTAAGGGGGGGTGCTTAGTCACTTGGCTAAGCCCCCCTTAGCCTTTAGATTAATCTAATGGTCCAGATAAAGTGTTCAATTATTATTAAATGAAAAGGGTAGTTTTGGCATTATCATAAATTCATTAATTTTTAATTTCAGTTTTATTTTATTTTTTTTCCTTCCTCTCCAACCGTCTCCTTCTTTCACGTTCACAAAGAGAGAGAGAGAGGGGATGGAGATGCGCGATTTCAACGGCGACGGTGAGAGAAGGCCCGACGGCGGCGATGGAGAAAGAAAGAAGATCTCGACGGCGTTGATGGAGAGAGGAAAAGGCGTCGCGACGGAGGCGGTAGCATTGGAGAGGGAGAAAGTAGATCTAGAGAGAGGCGATGGCGGAGAGAGAGAGAGGCGATGGCGGAGAGAGCTTCGACGACGATGGAGGAGAGAGAAGCAGCGCGGTGATGGAGAGAGAGAGGTAACGACGGCTGTAGAGAGAGTCGGCGGCGGCGGTGGAGAGACATCATCTGAAGGAAGAACAGTGATTTGTATAGTTTGTATGTTTTGTAACATTAGTTTGTATTGTTAGTATTTTTGTACAAAATGTAAGTATGGTTTGTATAGTTTGTATGTTTTGTAATATTAATTTGTATACTTTATATGTATTGATTTGTGCTGCAAATCACGTCGCTTTGTATTGTAAATACTAATAATTTGTATACATTATATGTATTGATTTGTGATTCAAAAAACATTACAAACATATTTGACAAAAATGACAAACATGTGGACAAAAATAACAAACATTACAAACAATACAAAAGAAACCAACAAACATTACAAACATTACAAAATAACAAACATTATAAACAAACATTACAAAGCATATTACACGTACAGAATATCACTACTTACAATACAGATTGGTAAACTTGTATTACAAACAAATGAATACAAAGTATACAAATCATAACATAAAAGTATACAAACTTGAATAACAAAAGTTACAAATACAAACCAATGAATAGAAAGTGTATAAATCATAACATAAAGTATACAAACTAGACAAACAAACATTACAATGTATACAAAATATTACAAAGCATTACAAACAAACATTACAAAGCATACTACACGTACAGAATATCACTACATTACAAAACATTACAAAACATTACAAAAATAACAAACATTACAAACAATACAAAAGAAACCAACAAACATTACAAACATTACAAACATTACAAACAAACATTACAAACATTACAAACAAACATTACAAAGCATACTACACGTACAGAATATCACTACTTACAATACAGATTGGTAAACTTGTATTACAAACAAATGAATACAAAGTATACAAATCATAACATAAAAGTATACAAACTTGAATAACAAAAGTTACAACTACAAATCAATGAATAGAAAGTGTATAAATCATAACATAAAGTATACAAACTAGACAAACAAACATTACAAACATTACAATGTATACAAAATAGTAATATAAACATTACAAACATCACGAACTCAATACTGTTGCCGGAAAATCATCCACCACCGTCTCTGGTCGCCGGAAAACTGCTCCGCCGTCGCCGGAAAAGTTGACAAGAACTCTCTCTCTCTCTCTCTCTCTCTCTCTCTCTCTCTCTCTCTCTCTCTCTCCGCCCACCAGGGAGCCAAATAATTCCAATGGCAGGTCTCTTGGGATATATTCTCAAAGGAAGGGGAATTATGGCGCCGTCCCAAATTGGCGTCGTCCCGGGAAAAATGGGCCGCCGGCGAATTACACGCCACAGGAGTGAAGAATTGGCCGGCGGGAAGGTTCGAAAGTCTTTGAGAAAAAAACCAGGCCGCGCGGAGAAGGGAAAGGATAGGGGCTGAATATTTATTTATTTTAATTGGTAAATAAAAATTAAATAATTAAATTACTACATTGCCCTTCATTAAACTGGATTAATCAGGGCCATTGGATTTTAATGAGATGGAAGGGCTGAGATTCACTTAGTCACATGACTAAGGGACCCCCCCTTAGTCACCTGATCTTAGCCCGGTTTTATGTTGGCAATGGTGGGAGGCGACCCTGAAGTGGGTGAATAGGTAAACCTAGTTGAATTGCATATTTGGGAATTTAATTGATCTTTTTTTTGTTTGGTTGTTGCTGTACGAGGAATTCGACTCGGCATGGAAGAACGAGAAGGGACAAAGGTGCAGTAGCTTTTCATCCAGATTCAGTCACATGTACGAGGCTTATTAAGGCAACTCGTTAATAATCGTATCAGTTGAAGCTCGAGAGTAGTATGAGTTAGCTAGCCAATCGAACTTATGAGGTGAGTGTAAAGTGGGTAATATCTCAGTCGTAGGTCTTTTAATTTACGCCTTTTATTTCAAGTTATTATTTAGTTAATTTTCTAGTATGCGCGATATGTGTCTGAGGCATCCCACCGCCTGTAAGGGTGGAGGCACGCGTTGTGCTATGTATGAATGTATGTGATGTTGTATGGATTGATGGTATGAGGAACCCCCGGGCGGTTGGGCCACTACTGGATGCAGTAGATGGTCGGGTCACTGCTGGACGGCGAGACATAACGCAACAATTGATCGAGTATGTTGGGGTCACTACTGGACGGCGAGACGTAACGCAGTAGTTGACGGGCATGGACTGGACGGCGAGACGTAACGCAGTGCTATTGCCGAGTTTGTGTATGCAACCGGACGGCGAGACGTAACGCGGTTGGCATACTAGGGTAGGACACCGGACGGCGAGACGTAATGCGGTGGTCCTAGTGTGTTGTGTTTGAGTTAATGATAAAAGTTGAGAACCTCTATGAGTTAAAGTTGAAAGGAGTTATTAAGAACCTAAGCAAGGGAATTCTAAAGATAATACAGGGGTAGAGATCTCTTATAGACTGTTTGCTAGTAAAGTTTAAAGGATGAAAGTGAGAACGACTTTCGTCTAAGGAAGGCTTTCCCCTAATAATGTGTTCAGTAAGGATTTTGCCTAGGGCAAAGACCTTAGGAAGTAACGACAAGACTGACCCCTTCTCACTCACCAGGTTGAGGATACTCTAGCAGAAGTGGATCATGAGAAGAAGCAGGGCGAGGCGAGCAGCAGTTCCAGCATCATCGAGATATCGGAAAGCTCGGGAGGAGTCAAGTTAGATTAGTTAATTATTCTGTTTCATGGTTATTAGTATAAACTGGAGATTCTGTGTTAAGTCGTTTTAAGTGTTGAGATTGAGAATTTTGCGCAAGTGTTGTGGCTTTTCATTAAAAAATTTTAAATGATGTCGGTTTGTTATTTTAAAATGTGGTTTGGGTTGCTCCGGAGTAACCGGTTTTTGGTTTGAGTTATGGTTTGGTTTTTGAAAAGAGTCGGGGTGTGTCATTTTGGTATCAGAGTCGGAACTCCTCTGTTCCTTGGCCTCCAAGGAATACTGGAGTGACGATCTGCGTTTTTTTTTAGGTTTCAGTTTTTAAAAGGAAAGGAAAAAGGGAGTGTCAGTTAAAAGTTTGGCCAAACGAGTCAGAGTCTTTCGGAAATTTTTAGAATCTCCAGTATACTCTAATCATGATAAGGAAATAACTTTAGGATGCCCTATGGGGTTATGATACGTCTTTGGAAGGAGAAGGAGCAGGTTCCTAGAGGGATCGTTTAGTGAAACTCCTTCATGAGTGAGAAGAGGAGGGTCAAGGTAGCTCATATTCTATGGGGATGTGAGCTGATCAGAATGAGGTTATGGAAGGAGTCAAGCAGTTAGTACATCGACTGGTAGAGCCAAGGAGTTATGGCAAATGTCGCTATAATTGAGAGGAAAAGGTGCAAGGAAGAGTCGTGGAGTTCATGAGAATTGAACATAGGGCTACAACCCCAAGGAGCAGCTGAGAGTTAGACTTTGAAAAATACTAGGGCCACCTAAGCAAGCAAAGGGAGAACTAAGTATATCATAGGAAGCCTAACAAGATGTCATGGGATTAATACATCAAGGCTAGAAGGAGGTACAATTCCTTGCCAAGAGATTATCACAAGCGAAACTTGGAGTCGTCACAACGAACAAATTTCGAGGTCGAAATTTTTCTTAAGGAGGGGGGAAATGTGATCTCTCGATTTTGGATTTAGGTTCAACATCAACTACTAGGAGAATTTGATCAACATGACAAGCTGAATTGGCATTTTGTTTCACCATGTTTGGATCAAGTTGGGAAGTAAAAAGGGCAGTGAGACACTTATGGTTACACGAGTGCTGCAAGCTAAGGAAACTTATTTGAGCAAAAGGTACCAACGAAGTTGTTATAGTAAGAATAGATGACCGTGGGAAGGAAGTATAAGGAGGGTGTTGATAGAAAGATGAGTTCTGAGCAAATTTCGGGGGCGAAATTTTTTGTAACGATGGAGGAAATGTAACACCCCGGTATTTTAGATTCAGGTTCGACTATAATACGTGATCGGTTAGATTGACGGTTAGGTACTAAGAGTTACAACCGCGGATTAGGAATAATAATAATAACTATTATTATTACATTATTTATTAAAAAAAAGAAGAAAACAAAGTGGTCGGCCAAACCCTCTCCCCCTTTAATAAAACGGGGTAATTGCAAGATTGGTCACTGAGATTATAAAAAACGTTCATGTTTGGTCACTACAAATATTTAATTTCATTCGTGGTCACTAAGATTAGTTCAATAGTTCAAGTTTGGTCACTCTCCGTTAATCTCCGTTAACTTTTGCTGATGTGGCAGTCAACCTTTATAGTTGACCGTTAAATGAGTGACGTGGCTATTAAAAAATAATAAAAAAAAATTAAATTTTCTATAATAATTTTCACCTCATTACACATTCATTAAAAAATAAATAAAAAACCTAATTTATACTAATTGGCCCCCTTTCCCTTCTTCCCCTTTCTAACTGGTTGCTGTCGTTGTGGAGTTCGGCGAGGAGGTCCCTGAAGGGAGCGGGAATGAATTTGCGGATGGAGTTGCAGAGCGCCGCAATGTCCTTCTGGGAGCGGGATTTCGCCGTGACGGCGCTCTAGATTACGGACTGGATCGAGAGCCTGGTGAGGGATTTCCCGTGGGAGTAGAACCGGTCTTTTTTTTCCTGCCCCAGGGAGACGGAGCGGGAGATGTTGGAGCCGGTCTGGTCGGTGTGGAGCTGTACGGTCTTCCAGCCGGCGACGGTGGAGCGGCGGCGCGTGGGGTCGGAGGCGGGGGAGGCGGAGATGGAGGAGATGAACTCGCGGATGATTTTCTTCTGGGGCTTCTGCCAGGTGCCGTACCAGATGATGTGGACGGTGATGTTGTTGGTGAGTACCGGGCCCATGTGGTAGCGGAGGTGGACGAAGTCCGACGAGCCTTCGAATTTCTTGGAGCCGGCGAGGGCGAGGTCGGTGGCGTTTGGGTGGGTGCTGGGCCAGGGGCGGTAGGCGGTGGAGAGGGACAGGATGGCGAGGAGGGTCGCCGGAATGAGAGGGGCAGCCGGGGCCATTGCGGTGGTTCTGTGGAAGAGGGATTAGGGCCGGTGGTGGAGGAGGAGACTGGAGAGTGTTGAATAAAGTGAGGTAATGATTTGGGGGTGGTGAAGGAGAAAGGAGCATTGATTTGCGGGTAATGGAGGACAGAAGGATTTGCTGGGTGGCCTCGGGACTATTGAATAAATTAGGTTTTTTAATTTATTTTTTAATGAATGTGTAATGAGGTGGAAATTCTTATAGAATAAATTTAATTTTTTTATTATTTTTTAATAGCCACGTCACTCATTTAACGGTCAACTATGAAGGTTGACTGCCACATCAGCAAAAGTTAACGGAGACTAACGGAGAGTGACCAAACTTGAACTATTGAACTAATCTTAGTGACCACGAATGAAATTAAATATTTGTAGTGACCAAACATGAACGTTTTTTATAATCCCAGTGACCAACCTTGCAATTTACCCTTAATAAAACCCTAGGCCTCTCTAAAATCTAAATACTAACCTAATCCCCGTCACTTCTCCATCGTAATTCTGTCCCATGCCGCCACTAATTACCGGAGTAGACTAGAGAGCCAAGTTTATGCAAAGGGAGTGGGTTTTTCAAGGAAGCGGCAGCGAAAGCGAAAAAAGAAAGAGGGAGTAGTCCAGGCGACGGGAGCTTCTCGAGGGATTTTGATGTGCCCCTTCACGCGATGAGGATCACTCACCGTAAGCCAGTAGTGCTGCTTGTACTTGGGGTAAGGAATTCCGTCCCTTGTCAAGATTAAGTAATGGGATACGAATGCCACTCTTGTCAGATATTGCAGTGAGGTGGGGGTTTGTGCATGGGTGAAGGGATTGATATACGTGGCAGCTTCAAAATCGAAGGGGGGGTTTTATGTTGGCAATGGTGGGAGGCGGCCCTGAAGTGGGTGAATAGGCAAACCTAGTTGAATTGCATATTTGGGAATTTAAATGATCTTTTATTTGTTTGGTTGTTGCTGTACGAGGAATTCGACTCGGCATGGAAGAACGTGAAGGGACAAAGGTGCAGTAGCTTTTCATCCAGATCCAGTCACATGTACAAGGCTTATTAAGGCAACTCGTTAATAATCGTATCAGTTGAAGCTCGAGAGCGGTATGAGTTAGCTGGCCAATCGAACTTATGAGGTGAGTGTAAAGGGGGTAATATCTCAGTCGTAGGTCTTCTAATTTACGCCTTTTATTTCAAGTTATTATTTAGTTAATTTTTTAGTATGCGCGATATGTGTCTGAGGCATCCCACCGCCTGTAAGGGTGGAGGCACGCGTTGTGCTATGTATGAATGTATGTGATGTTGTATGGATTGATGGTATGAGGAACCCCCGGGCGGTTGGGTTACTACTGGATGCAGTAGATGGTCGGGTCACTGCTGGACGGCGAGACGTAACGCAGCAATTGATCGAGTATGTTGGGGTCACTACTGGACGGCGAGACGTAACGCAGTAGTTGACGGGCATGGACTGGACGGCGAGACGTAACGCAGTGCCATTGTCGAGTTTGTGTATGCAACCGGACGGCGAGACGTAACGCGGTTGGCATACTAGGGTAGGACACCGGACAGCGAGACGTAATGCGGTGGTCCTAGTGTGTTGTGTTTGAGTTAAGGATAAAAGTTGAGAACCTCTATGAGTTAAAGTTGAAAGGAGTTATTAAGAACCTAAGCAAGGGAATTCTAAAGATAATACAGGGGTAGAGATCTCTTATAGACTGTTTGCTAGTAAAGTTTAAAGGATGAAAGTGAGAACGACTTTCGCCTAAGGAAGGCTTTCCCCTAATAATGTGTTCAGTAAGGATTTTGCCTAGGGCAAAGACCTTAGGAAGTAACGACAAGACTGACCCCTTCTCACTCACCAGGTTGAGGATACTCTAGCAGAAGTGGATCATGAGAAGAAGCAGGGCGAGGCGAGCAGCAGTTCCAGCGTCATCGGGATATCGGAAAGCTCGGGAGGAGTCAAGTTAGATTAGTTAATTATTATGTTTCATGGTTATTAGTATAAACTGGAGATTCTGTGTTAAGTCGTTTTAAGTGTTGAGATTGAGAATTTTGCGCAAGTGTTGTGGCTTTTCATTAAAAATTCTTAAATGATGTCGGTTTGTTATTTTAAAATGTAGTTTGGGTTGCTCCGGAGTAACTGGTTTTTGGTTTGAGTTATGGTTTGGTTTTTGAAAAGAGTCGGGGTGTGTAATGGCGCCTACCTAACCGAGCCCTCACGGAGTCCCGCCGCCCAATCTTTGTCTCTCTGATGCCGGCGCACTCAGACTGACGAATGACGTAGCAGCCCAGCACCGCAACCTCTCCGTTGACTCCAGCACCTCGTCTTCTCCGTCGACCGCATCGGCAATCGTTGTCTCTCCAACTTCGTCAATTTCAGGTTTATTGAGTGAAGATTGATAGTGATTCCACTGCCGACCCCAACAGCTGCTATTGTTGACTTTATTTTTTAATTCAATCGCCGGTGAAGCTTCCCCGCCGCCGTTGCTATTTTTCGAAGGGGACAGGCCAAAGGTCTCTTGTTTTTGAATGATGATGATGATGAGGCGCCAACCAATTGACTAATTCTATAATTCTTTTTACTATTTTTTATTTCTCAAGTTCCCAACTCACGAAATGGGAAAACAAAGTATCAAAGTGGGCCAGTCCCCACTCTTCACCTTTCGTCACTCGTCCCTTCCTGTAGGTGTACAGAGTCCATTCCGGTAATCGGCTACCCGACACGTAACTGCAACTGTTTGCATTCGGTAAGCGGTTTACCGAAACAATTCCAGTATCGGCAAATAGCAGAGGTTCGAGGCATCACGGTATACCAAAAACCGATCAGTCGGTAACCGGTTTAAACTGGTTACAGACCGGTCACCGGGAGCTTATCAGCCCTAGAAACAAATATGTGATTGGGCTATTGAGTTGAGATATGAGGTTAGGAGATCATACACAAGGTTCATCAACCAAAGCTCAGGGAATATAAGCCCCGAGAATATCCAGATAAACTTCGTCACTTTCAAGAAGCGTGGTATTCAAAATTTGATTGGCTGGAGTATTCACCTACAACACATAAAGAATGTCGTTTCCCATGTTTTTTGTTTAGAGATAAGATGCATAGAAGTCAAACATCTACATTGAAGCAAAATGGATTTGATAATTGGAAGAGGGTTTAATGTAAGAATTGTGCATTTTTCTTCATGTTGGTTCATCAGCTTTTTCAGTTCATAACAAATGTGTTGCATCGGCTGATGCCTTAATGAAACCCTCCGAGCCTATTGATAAAGTGATTCAGAGAATTAGTGGAGAAGAAGTTATGAAACATAGATTGCGGTTCAAAACAACAATTATGGTTGTCAAACAATTGGCTTTACAAGGAAGTTCTTTTAGAGGGCATGGCGAATCTGATGATTCTTTGAATTTGGGGAATGTTCTAGCTTGGATTGGTTTTGCATCAAAGTTGAATGATCAAATCCATAGTGTAGTTCTTCATAATGCACCAGGAAATGCGAAGTACACTTCACCGAGAATTCAGAAAGAGATCTTCGGAATCATAGAAAGAATCGTGAGGAAATTGGAAATTCTTATTTCTCTATCCTTGTTGATGAAGAAGTTGATGAAGCATGAAGGGAACATATGTATGTTATTTCGAGGTATGTAAGCTCTTGCGGTATATTAATTGAACGCTTTTTTGCTCTCGAGAGTGTTTCTGAAACTTCTGCAGAAACACTAAAACAAGCTATTTGTGACATTCTCTCTCAATATATGACCTTTAAATTGAAAAATTGAGAGTCAAGGCATTATTTCTTAGAGATTGCCCACATGCCTACTTTGTCCACTGTTTTGCTCACAAATTACATTTGGCATTACTTAAGAATGAGCTATGATATTATGTCGACCATGTTGTTCGTAGTCATGAATATGAGGTTCTTCCCTTGCAAAATTATAGAGTAGCTGGTGGAAGCAAAGATGGACACAAAGTACCAATTGGTATGTCGGTTGAGTCGTCTAGTGTTGACGTTGCCTGTTTCAACAGCTACTACGGAGAGATCCTTTTCAGAAATGAAACATGTGAAGACTGATTTCCACAACAAAATGGGGGATGAATATCTGGCCAATTGCTTAACTATTTTTTTAGAGAGAATATGTTATTGATATGAATGAATACTAAATTATTCATGAATTTACAAAATTAAAAGACAGTCATATACGATTGACATTGTAATGAAAACTATAATTATTATATATTTTTATTTACGATATCTAATTTTTCTATTTACATACAGTCCAATACCTTACTATATCTTGTATGTGCTGATGAGAACACTAAGGGGGCGTTTGGAAGTTGCGATAGTTTTGTTGAGATTGTCATTATGCATGTATTGTTTACAATGCATCATTTTTTTTGTTCTTAGCAGAAACAATACATGGATTGTTTATGTGATGTGACAGAAACTATCACTCATTTTGAGTGATTGTTATATCTCAACTTTTAGTTGTGATTGTTGAGATAGTTGAGTTGAGATTGTTTTGTCTCAGCTTTTAGCTGATGCGACATACACAATTACACATACCAAACGTGGTATTCTACAATGCATCAAATTCGACAATACATGTATAATATTATACATACATTCTCAACAATACATCTATTTAACAATCGCAACTTCCAACCGACACCGATAACCTCGGAGGACCTCAACTTGGTTGGTATCCCACATAGTCACATAATGTAAGCTGTGTACTTTTTAAGGTTGCCCACGTTGACCGGGTTCCTTCGTGATTTGAAAACGCTACACTGCTCTCGAATGTGCGTTCCATTCCATCAAACGATGTAAAATCAACTAGGGCCCTCCCGGCAGTGAGGATAAGACCAACCACCTCCTTTAATTTATTCGTTCCATTTCTTCTAAGCCATCACACCACGTCCGATTAAACCTTCCACTAACAGAGAGATCACAAATTATAGCGTTCAGAATAATGATTTTTTAAAATGTAACTATGTCAGTTTAAATAAATGCAGGCCCGACAAAACCAAAGTGGATACAAATTGTATTCTAATGTTACAATCATAATAATGATAGGATATGAACACCAACTGGGATCAGTTTACTAACACCGATCATCAAACACAGTCTTGACTTTCACACAAAACGCAGCTCCAAGCCAACCAACAAGGCCAAATTGCTAATGCTATATCTATATATTTCTTTCTTTTATTGCGAAACCGGAAACTAAAGTAATACAAGCAGCAGCAGATACCACAAGCAATTTTGGCAGACTAGTCTTGGCCGCTGCGATCTGCGTTGATCTCGTCAAGAATCACAACGAGAGAGATAATGAAGGCGTAATCCACATTAGGGTAGATCGTCACCCTGAAGTCGTCGGTGTCGAACAGGAAAGTCGCCATGCTGTGCCCTCTGTACATCTGCCCACACACACACACACCACTTCCACAATGTCAGCCAAATTATCATCACCCACTCAAATTAGTTAGCAATTGAATAATTAATTCACAAATTCCAGATCTGGGTTAACTGAATCAAGTACCTGAGCAATGATCTTGTTGGTGTTCCCGAGGTAAATGACGCAGGAACTCTCGGAGAAGCTGCCTTTGATCTTGAAATCGGGGACTTCTTCCTTCTCATTCCCGGCTAAGAAAACATCCAATTCGGTCCTCATCTGCAGGAACGACGACTTCCTCACCGTGAACAGCAAATCCTTGGAGTCCTTGCTGTCTCCCCGGTACGCCAGCCATCTCCTGTGCGCAGTCATCAGCTGCAGCAAGAAACAGATATTAATCAGCACATTAGATAGAAATACAAGATCGATTGATCCGCAAGACGGTGGCGGATACGGACCTTCTGCTGCATCGAGACGAGGACGGTGCCGGCGGCGTCGAGCAACTTGCGGCGGTCGTGGAGGCTCATCAGCTTGCTTTTGATCCGGAAGATGATTGTCCCGTTGACGTCTTTGACGGTGAAATCGTTCTCTCCCAAGGTCATGATCTTTGTGGCCACTGTGAGGTCTACTGGGTATTGGGCCAGGAAATAGGGGCTGATTACCACCGCCGGGTGCTCCAGCGGGAGGTACACCGTCATTGCCGGAATCGGGTTGGCGGGTTGACCGGCGCCGGCCATGATTTTTTCAACGATTGACTGTTGGGAAGAGGGATAAGTGAAAGGGGAAGGATATTGAAGGAGGATGGATGTTGTGACTTATGAGGGAATGAGGCAAATGTAGGAACTATATATATATATATAGCTAAACCGTAGGGCAGGGGATTGCCGGTGTTATGATGCTTCTACGGACCATCCGGCATTGGGATGAATTGACGCGTCAATTTTGAAGGCAAGGAACTTTCATTTCATACAAGAAAGACAACTGAACGCGGTTGAGGCAGGGGACGGAAAAAATTATAATGAAGAGAGTAAGGAAGGGCTTTGCCTAATAATATGTTGTGTTATGTTTGCTTTCTCTCATTGCAAGTGGATTCTTGGCCGTTTGCTTGAATGTTTTCTTAACTCTTAAGAATGTTAGCAAGTATACAGTTGATGGACACTAGAAGTTCCCTCGAAGGGATTCAGGAATTGAGAAGAGAGGAAATTAGGAATTGGAAAGAATTGGGGAAGAACGAGAGAGAATTGAGATTAGGGATTGAAGTGTTTATTGATAATAATTCATTAATCTGAAAAGTATTGATCTGAACCTTTAATTAGGAGTTCGAAAATAATACAAAATTACAAATGTGCCTTTCTTCGGAGTTAAGCAGACAAAAGAGTTGGTGACACAATTAGGAAGAAACACCTACACATAAAAGTTCTAGAAGGCCTTCTGGATAGATCCCTTCAACTAGTGCCAACATTCCTTGAAGAAATCCATCGTAAAACCGCCGGGGCCAGGAGCTTTACTCCCATCCCATTCGCACACACCAAACCAAATTTTCTGTTCGGAAAAAGGCTGGTCAAGACGTCTACGATCACACTCCCCGAGCCCCAGAGTCTTCAGCCGTTTCGGAAACGGACGATGCTGAATATTTTTGCTAGGAATGAATTTTCAAAACAGAAATATTTTTGGATATACCACGTTTTGGGAATAACTTACCTTCCCTTTTCGCAAATCCACGTACATTCTGAAATTATGTCAATGATAAAAATTATAGTCCTTAAAAAGTTATGCAAAATGAAAAAAAAAAAAATCATGACGTTCGAATTTTGGAGCACAAAGTTATAGTTGTTAAAAGTTATTGAGGATTTTTACCGTTCGAGGAATAAAACTTTGTCAATATATTATTGTTTCAAAAGAAGTGTTGTAGTTTGGTGTTGTAGATGTTGTGCTAAATTTAGTTAACTATTTATTATACTAGTAATCACCTCGCGCTCTGCTGCGAGATATTCTTGACTTGCGGTATTTTTAGTTACTACAACGCAAGTTTGGGGAAAATGTACAATTGAAACCGTTATATTGCTATTTGCTAATTACTGACTAACATTCATATAAATGACCATGTGAATATAAGTATGTATAGTGGGTCTCCATGTTGATCCAACAATGGTTACAAAATTTTGACCTCAGCATCCACACATGGATTACATATAGGGCAGCATCTTGAATTTGACAAAATAACCAAAGGGATTACAAAATAGTTGAAAGTGCAAAGGAGACTACAAATTGCAAGAGCATACAGAAGAATCTAATCCTCATTCTTTTGCAACTGCAAAGCAAACATGTTTAAAACCATACAAAAAAATCATTCCGCTCCCAAAAATGTCGAATGACCTGGAAAAAAGAGCATTAATATGTTATAGTAGAAGTGTAACGGCTTCGGCTCCTGATTAGGTAATTATCTTTTGTTTTAATTAACCGTATAATGATAATCTGCAGCATAAGGATAGCATAGTAGAAATCTATCAAGGTACACTACACAAACCATTCGTTTGCCACTAATCCCCTACACTTTACAAAATAGAATCACATCCCAGCATCTTTCAGATGAATGCACCTCGGCAAGTGAAAGTTGCAAGAATCTATCCTTGAAGCTGCCTAATTACTTACTTGCAATTTAGTCAATCGAGATTTAAGAGTGCTTAAAAATGCATCATGATTTTGCATAAGATCTTCAATCACGTCCCCACAAGCAGAGTGGGACCAGGACCAGATAGAGGATTTTCTCATTTGCCTCTAATCCCCTCTCCAAGGCCACCCAACCTCCATGCGAAGGATTGCAATATCCGAGAAACTCTTGGGAACCGAAGAGCTTCACTCTTTCCAAACCTTCGCCATCATCACCAATAAGACCAGATGGGAAAAGTACACTCGATTTGAGGCCGGCGCGAAACTCGAAGTGAAGATAAGCGTCCAGTTGAGGGCAACGCGGCACACACAGTAACAACAGCGGGACCCAGACGCAGGCAGCCAACCAATCAGAAAACGCAGGCGGGCCCAATCGCAGAGCTTGGACCAATGGGGGAACGGTGAACAGTAAAATTTCGTGTCCAATGGGGGAATAGTAATTTCGTGTCTAGGCGTACAGTAGATTGTGTCTTTGCAAATAACTTTTTTCAATCTGTGTTCGAACCACCATCCTCGCAACATGGTGCTTTTTTAATCTCTAAAAAATAAAAAGACCTAATGTGGGGATGATGGGGATTCGAACCTAGGACTTCTTGCGCACAATAAACAACTAAACCAATTTTGCCAAAACCACTTATGATATTTATTCGGAAAAATATATATAATACAACCGCCGGGTGGGGTGCGGTTTGCAACCAAACCGCCCCGGCCCCACGCGGTCAGCAAAACCGCCCCCTAACCGTGCAGTTTTCATCGAAAACAGCGCTCCCGGGTGGCGGTTTTTGGGAAATGGTGCTATTTTTGGAATTTTTTGGGGTTTGGTGCTATTTTTGAATTTTTTTTTTAAACAATGCTATTTCTAGAAACTATCCGTGAAAGTGAAGTGAGGGAAGAGAGTTGAACGACATCATTTTAGAGAAGGGAGGGAGAAATCCGGTTTTGGGTTAAAACTGGAGTGGGACCAGGACCAGATAGAGACCGAACCGGGTAAAAAACATGACAGCTTCCAATCCAGTCTTTGGTCCTCATAATTTCAAAAAGACCGGACCGAGACCGGGTCAATTCGGGCCCGTTTAACCGGACTGGACTGTATAGCCACCCGTAATTGAGATGGAACCTGCGTGTAGTATGGCGTTGGTTCCTCACGGAACGCCACCTCGTCTTCATCGATATCATCCTCCTCACTAACTTATCTCAAATCTTCTTCGCTTTCCTCGTCATTGGAGGCAAATGGATAGCTCGGCCCAGGATGATCATCGTGACCTCCATCACCAACATCGTCTTCTCGCTCATGCGAAGTACGCCCAGATCGAAGGTGTTCTCAATGTCAACAAATGGGGCATTGAACATCGTCGGACTCAACAAATGGGGCAGGTTGAGCATGTTGCGGATATTCTTCCCATGCCACACCTCTTGCAGAACTACCTTCTCCGTAGTTGCTTGAACTATCACCCAATTAGTACCCTCCTATATAACCATCTCCTTCGTAGTTGCTTGAACTACCACCCCATCTGTACCCTCCTACGAAACCATCATCATAAGAATACTGGCGAGAATGAGTTTCACCGACCGCCTCGGTCTCAACATACACCTCTGTAAGCCGCATCCCGTTATCACTTAGGAACTCTAACATCATGGTAACCGCGTCATCATCGTTTATGACAACATCTTGGTACACAACCCCGCCATCACTCATGTCTGGATACCGATAAGTAATTTTACCAACTCTCGTATGTCCGCCTGTACAAACCCTGTATGCACAAATGTCACGGAGTTCTTGCCATGTGAATCTCGACTCAATTTTCAACATAGTGGATTCACCGTTTTCATAATCAGTCTCAATGTCAGAGTTTGTCACCCTAACATTCCACCGAATAATAAGCTGAAACTTTTTGAATTTATCCATATCTGCAATTTACAATAAGTAACTATTAGCTTAAGTCCATAAAAATTAACCAAAACCATATTTCACTGCTACGAAAATAATATTACTCCATCTCATAAACAAACGCAACTAATTTATCAAAACATGAACCATAACTAACATACATATTCGCCACGAAGAGTAATTCATTAAATACATACATATAACTACTAAAACATCATAATATAAACAATACAAAATTATATCATACCGAAAAATTGCTTCTGTTATCGTAGTTGCTGGGATTTTTGCTTAAATTTGACAGAGGAGGGGAGGGTATTTTTTCCAACTTCTCGTGGGAGGGGGTATTTATTTGACAATCAGGGGCGCATTCACCGTCGTTGTGAAAAGCGACGAAGGTAATCACCGCGTTGCCCTAAGGCGTTGAACTTTAGGTGGTTGTGACCTAATTTTCACCAACCAGACGTGGGAAACGTGGAAAATAATCACTGTCGTAACCTAGCGCGGTGAACTATTTCCCCCGCTTTACTCTACAGCGGTGAAGCAATCACCGCTGTAGACGAACACAGTGAAGCTTTCACCGTTTTTAATTAAAAGCGGTGATGGCTTCACAGTTTTTAATTAAAAGCGGTGATGGCTTCACCTTCGTTATTTACAGTAGTGATTGTATTCACTGCCTTAGACAACGACGGTAAATTAATGTCAAATATGTGTACTTTTGGGAAATTTTTTATAACTAAAGTATTTTTTTTAATAATTAGTGTATTTTGAGATTTTTTTCAGAGAACGACAAGTTGAAACCTCAAAACCCAGTTTCACCAAATCGTTATCAGTTCTAATTGTGTATGTAACTTCTAATTGTGTATAGAAAGATCCAATAGCACCAAAAGAAGACCACCATTCATTAATCCTTGAAAATGGAATACAGAGTTGGTTTTGTTCTAATGGAAGATACAACGCCGATTATGAGCAGCAAACAAATTTCAGTAAAGGGATGCTCCACCAAAAAAATAAAAAATAAAAAAAATAAGCCCATTGTTTTACCCCCGATCCCACTCGACTCTGCTACGCTGTACAGGTATGGAATTAGCATTTTGAGTTAGTTATCCTGATGATGAGAAACCGTTACTCAGTCCTCGCCGCTCCGGTCTGCGTTGATCTCGTCAAGAATGACCACAAGTGCCACAATGAAGGCATAATCAACATTTGGGTAGACGGACACCTTAAAACTTTCAGCGTCTAGCAGCACCGTCTTAGCGCTGTGCCCCTTGTGCATCTGCATACATATATTTCAAGCAAACACCACCCATCACCATATGCAGTTGAAGAGAGCAACAACAACGTAACTGGGTTTGTTAATTAAGTTAAAATTTCTTCCTAACCTGTGCAATAATCGTCTTGGATTTCCCTAGACAAACGGAGCAGGAACCCTCATGCCAGCCCCCTTTGATCCTGAAATCAGGGGATTCTTCCCTCTTGTTCTCCCCCACGAACACGTCCAACTTGTTCTTGAAATGGAGTATGGACGATTTCCTCACGCTGAACAGCAGATCTTTCGGATCCGTGCTATCTCCCTTGAATGCTTGCCATCTCCTGTGGCAGCTCAGTATCTGATGAAATGAAACCAACAACAAAAGACAAATTATTACACGCCATTATGTCAATCTCTCTATGCGACATTATTATACACATTGTTAAACCGAACGTACCTTTTGCTGGAGGGAGAGGACAACGTTTCCAGCCGAATCGAGCATCCTGCGGCGATCATGGAGGCTCAACAGCTTGCTTTTGATGTGGAAAATGGTGGTGCTGTTGATGTCTTTGATGGTGAAATCGTTTTCACCGCGGGTAAGGATTTTGGAGGCGATCGTGAGGTCGACCGGGTAATCGGCCACATACTGCTCTCCAACCACCACAACTGGGTTGAAGTAATTGGGCGCAGCCATGGCTGGCACGATTACCAGATCGATCCCTGCCATGATCGCCTCCTCTTGCCCTCCGACGAAAGGAAGACACCAGATCCAAAACGGGGCTTTGCTGGCTGGAAAAAGGGAGCATTTTTGCAGAGGATGTAGATGAGTACTATTTATGGCACTCACTTGTGACGTGTTTTTCATTCCCTTCATCTGGGATTCAACTAAACATTTCCGCACATCTCTTACTAATTTTTGTTATTTTGATCAACACAAAATGGCATTTATGTGCTTTTGGATAACAAACTTTCCTTATATAACTCTTGGGCCATGGAGGAATATTGTTTTGCGTGTGTGAGTTGTGAGCTCTCGGCCTTGTTAAAAAATGAAGTAAAAGCTATTGGGCCTATAAGAACTCTCAAAGAATGGGCGTCAGCATGTTCATAGAATTTTCAGCTGGGCATTTCGACGAACAGACAGCTTGCCTCAGTGCCGACTGCCGAGTGATATGGGTTTCGCAGACTTACCCGTAACAACGAGATTCAATCAATGGCGAGGATTCGATCCTCTTCCGCGAAGGCTCCCTGTGTTTACCTGAGGAAACATCGGAAGTGGCCGCATTCTCCTTACAAGACCCAATGGCACCAAACTTTCAATCAGGTGCTGGCAATGAAGTCTCTGAAAGAAGCGGCGGCGGGGGCAACGTCGCAGCGCCGGCGGGAAGAAGATCCCAGCAAAACGGGTCTTCTTTCTCCTCTGGTGAACTCCTTTAGCATCTACAACTGCCACCCAACTCCTCAAGCATATCACTTCGTATTTAAAACGCTGGCAAAAACCTCCCAGCTTCACGATATCCCTCGAGTTCTCGACCACCTGGAAACCGTCGAGCAATTCGAAACTCCAGAGTTCATCCTCGCCGATCTAATCAAAATTTACTGCAACGCGCGCGAGATGGAGAAAGCTGTGGATCTCTTCTCCAGAATACCCAAGTTCAGGTGCGCCCCTACTGCAATCTCGCTCAACACTCTGCTTTCGTTTCTCTGTAGAAGCAATACTGGGATGAAAATGATTCCCGAAATTTTATTGAAGAGTCAAGATATGAACATTCGAGTGGAAGAATCGAGCTTTCGCATATTGATTTCAGCTCTTTGTAGAATCAAGAGAGTTGCCCACGCAATCGAGGTATTCCACCGCATGATCGATGATGGGTTCATTGTGGAGGCAGAGATTTGCTCTTTTTTGCTCTCATCCCTTTGCGAGCAAACAGATATTTCCAGCGCCGATGTAATTGGGTTTTTCGGACAACTAAGGAAATTAGGGTTTGTACCTGGATTGATCGATTACGCCAACTTGATGAGATTTTTGGTGAAAGGAGGATACGGTAATGATGCGGTAGATGTTCTGGATCAGATGAAATCAGATGGAATCAAGCCGGATATAGTCTGCTACAACTTGGTTCTGAAAGGGTCCGTGGACAGCCGAGATTTTGCATTAGCAGATAAGGTGTTCGACGAATTGCTCCTGTACGGTTTGGTCCCCGACATTCGGACATACAACGTTTACATAGATGGGTTGTGCAAGCAAGGAAAGATGGAAGTTGGGCGCAAGATGGTTGCATCGATGCAGGAGTTGGGATGCAAGCCTGATGTGGCCACTTTCAATACTTTGCTGGCTGCACTGAGCAAGATTGGAAACATGGAAGGCGCAAGGGAGCTTACAAGGGAGATGGGTAGGAACGGAATTGGGAAAGATATGCAGACATATGAGATGCTGATCAAGCTGTTCACCAGCCGTGGCGAAGTTCTGGAAGCATGTGGTTTGGTGGAGGAACTGTTGCATAAACGGTTAGATGGGTTTAATGATGGTGTGGCTGGGAATTTGATTTGTAGGTTGTGCAGAAGTGGATTGACCGATAAAGCAGTGGAGTTAATCGTTCATATGGCGGAGAGGAATGTCTGTCCTGGTTTTGGAGCTTGGGAAGCAGTCCTCTTTAGCTGGGGATCCAAACTGGATTTTCCCGAAACTGCATTCATGGGTTTGGTGGACAGTGTACAGATTGAATGAATAAATGGTTGAAAGGTTTGTTGTTGCATGAGCTGAACTCTCAATTGGGCACTGGGCAGTGTAACTCTTTGTATCTGTATCACGGATCCTTATGCCATGATTACAGTTCACAAACCCTAAATGTATTAATTAATCCCCCCATTATATCTGGTCAGGTGTAGCTCTCTTTCGGAGCAAGAGGTCAAAATTTTGGTAGATAGGGATCGCATCAAAACTTCTTTTGATTAATGGACCAGACCTAGTTATTTTCAAGAATAATGGCTAAAGGACCTGATACTACTACCTAGATTCGGAACTTACATGCTGATGCTCACGATTTCGATGGCCATACCGGCTTTGGGTTATCACTGTATATCCCCATGGTTCTCATTCTCTATTATCTATAGGGAAGTATAAAGGTGCGCTGGATATATAGTTATATACACTAGTCTGTAGGTCCTGTGAGCACTTGAGATTTGTCATTTGTGGACAGCTTGATTAGGGTAGGGTTTTGTGCATCTGCGTTTTGCCATTGTGTTGGAGACCAAAAGTTACTGTAGGTTTGGAAAGGAAAAGAAAGCGAGAATGCTTTCATTATTGAATTGCTAGCCTGTCAAGTTTCAACTCAAATGGAGGCTACCTACCACACAGAATCAATCACTTGACGTGACACCACTTGCGAACAACAACCATTACTCTTCGTGATGATTACATATAGACATAACAGCTAAAATCACTCTCCACTGCTCCTGATCAGTCCTCATCAAAGCAACCTACAAGCAGTATTTGTGTAGTTCACATTTGGATTTGATTTTCTTACAAGCAAAACCGTTCTTGGTGTCGGTAGTTTGGTCCACTCACAGCTTAGATCGAAAGCACAGCAAATATGTACAGCTGAATATACTGTGGAATGAATACTGTGAACTAACATGTTATCGGTTGAAAATTCTTGTCTAAATCCTCTAAATGAGGTGATTCTCGTTACACTATATTGCTCTAGAGAATCTTTTATGGACAGTTACAGAATTATACTATCTAGAAATCTACAATTACATACAATTGCAAAGAACTTGTCGCATAGGTTCGTCCAAGAGTTAATGGAATAATGAGGATGATCGTTAAGTAATTGTTTTGCCGCTCTATTAAGAGCAAGCAAAAAGAGTATCAACTGGATCGCCTCTGGGGGTATTCCATTGATCTTTATTCAGTCACTAAGCTCATGGAACGACTTCACATAGGTGTGGGCATCTTCATTCTTCTTTCCATGAAATTGTATAGAATTTTGGATAATGGAAATCACATAAGTGTTGATTTATAAATTGTTGTTTGAGTCAGATAGTCCTCTCAATCTCGGTATCAAGCGGTACAAGATTATCTATACTTTTCCTTCGCATAAAAGAAGGCTACACACAAAAACTTGCAACCCCGTGACAAATACAATGGTATAACACAAAATAAATTACTACTACCCGTTATAAACAAAATCTAAAAAAGGCAGATAAGTTGAGACTTAATTAACAATCTAACTTAATTCCAGCTAGTTATTAGTGATTTTCTCGACCAAGGCGCCAAAAAATTGATTTTCCTTACTCTTGGTTAATGATTCTATTGCATTCTACGATGCATGCAAACTTCTAACCCTATAAATTATAAGTATACCCTGCTAGACTTGTAGTAAAGTGGCTCAATCTCTTCTCTCTCTTCTCTGATTCTCTAACCCTAAAATCGCGTGATGGCGGCCGTCGCTGACGGTGAGGCTGCCGTTGGCGACGGTCGGCAGTGAGCATCACTTTTTGGAATCCCCGAGGATAATCGTCTTGACTATTACGAACCGGAGTTTGTGAATGGTTCGCTAAGGATTCCAAGGGAAGTTGTTGAGGAAGGGGCTAAGCGTTGGGAGAATTGTTTAGTCGGTCAATTCGTCGATCGTCCGACATCGATTTCTTCGATAAGGTACTGGGCAAACTGGCTGTGGGGCAAAGAGGGTGTGGTAAAGGCTTCTTGGATGGGGCGAAGACTGGTGTTGTTTCAGTTCCCTTCGGCGGAGATATGTCAATGGGTGTTCGAAAATGGGCCTTGGCATCACAGGGAAAACCTATTGTTTCTTCAGAAGTGGGAGCCTGGGATCAGTCCCCTTAAGATTGACACCACGGCGCTGCCATTGTAAATTAAGCTCTCTAATCTGCCAACAGAGATGACATCTAAGGAAGGGTTAGGAAGAGTGGCTAGTTCGCTGGGGAGGCCGTTATGTATGGATAAATCTACTACCCAGGGTCGTAAAGTGGGCTTTGCTCAAATCTGTGTGGAAGTCAAGGCTACTGCGAAGAAGGTAACGAAGCTGAGTGTTACACCAGATGGTCTACCAGAAATTTTTATTGATGTAGTGTATTGCCATAAACCAAAAGTTTGTGACAAATGTGAATGTTTTGGGCATAGCTGTGCTAAGGTAATAGAAGAGCCGCAGAAAGTATGGGTAAAGCTTAATGTATTGTATTGTTATGAATTATTAAGTTGAAGCTAAACGTTATACTTCTTGCCATGAATAACGAGGTAGCTATATCTTTGACAAATTGACGATCTATAGTTCATGCTATAAAAATATATGTGGCTATATGGTTGGATGCATATTTTCTTTATTCATTTTTTTCTTTTAAACAAAATATGTTATATTCCATACTTCAAGGCTTCAAAAGGGCTTCGACAAGGGGACCCCTTGTCTCCGGGTCTGTTTGTGCTGATTATGGACATTTTGTCTTGGATGCTAAGGTTCGCCAGAACAGCTGGGAAGTTCGAGGGCTTTTACATGAATGAAGGTACCAAAAGCGGCGAGGTAACACATCTTCTGTTTGCCGATGACACCCTTATTTTCTGCGACACCCATCATGAACAGGTCCTGAACTTACTTGCTATAATTGCGTGTTTCCAATCTGTCACGGGGCCGAGAATCAATCTAGACAAATCAGTTATGTATACAATTGGAGACGTTTCTGATCCCAGTTTCTTCGCTGCAATATTTGGGTGTAAATGGAGTAGCGAGCCTCTCAAATACCTGGGTTTCCCGGTCGGAGCTAAACCAAACGACCCTAGGATCTGGGACTCCCTTCTAAGTAAGTTCCAAAATAAGCTGAATGGTTGGGGAAGTAAGCTCTTGTCTTCCGGTGCGAGACTTGTGCTTTGTAAAGTAGTTCTCTCGAGTATGCCGACGTATTTGTTCTCATTGTTCAAGGCCCCAGCGTCGATCATCAAGGATATGGAGAAGGTTCAAAAGAGGTTTCTATGGAATGTTTCGGGGGAGAATAAGAAAATGGCATTGGTGGATTGGGAAAGATGTAAGGGCGAGAAGAAGAAGGGCGGTCTTGGTATCCACGATCTAAAAGCTTTCAACGACGCGATGCTTTCGAAATGGTTGTGGAGATATGCAGTTGAAAGAGATAGTTGGTGGCGGCAGTTAATCGCAATCAAATATCAACATCCTGTTTCGGTTTGGCAGACGGAGAGAGTGAACCATGGGTTTTCTCAATCGGTATGGGCAAACATTTCAAAAGAGTATGATCGGTTCTGGAACTTCGCTACTGTGGAGCCTGGTAATGGATCGTCGATTTCTTTCTGCCATGACTGCTGGATTCCGAGGATGATTCTGTCTAAGTCGTTCCCCCGTGTTTCTGCCGGAGACCCCGAAGCAATGATATCCGATGTTGTATCCCTTAACGACTCTGATCAGGTGAGTTGGTGTTTTCCTTTGAGATTCAATTTGGGGGGGGGGGGGGGGGGGGGGGGGGGTGCTGAGAGAGAGAGAATTGAATTAATGGAATATCAGGGAAATATTAGTCTTACTAATAATCTCTACAACCCATGTAGAATTGTTTGCAATGCTGATCCTAATTAGGGCTGAAAATTGGTCCGACCCGCCCCTGACCCTGTCCTGACCCTGTCTGACCCGCCCCTGAAGGGTCAAGATGTATAACTGACCCGCCCCGACCCTGTTTCTTTCATGACCCTGTCTGACCCTTTAGGGTCGGGGCGGGTCAGGAAGGGTCGGGTCAGTGGGTCGACCCTAATAAATAGACTACTTTTCTAAAAATTACAATTTGGTACCCAAATTTTTTTTCTTACATTTTAGTACCTAAATTTTATTTTTTTTACAAATAAGTCCCTAAAATTTGATGGTAAAATTACATTTTGGTACCCAAATTTTTTAATTTTTACAATTTAGTACCTAAACTTTTAAAATTTTACAAATAGGTCCAACGTGTTTGTATGATGCTTAGGGTCATAGGGCCAAAAAGTGACCCGACCCTAAATTGACCCGGCCCTATCTGACCCTGACCCGACCCTAAGCTGACCCAACCCTAAATTGACCCTGTAGACAAATTGACCCAGCCCGACCCTGAGGGTTGGGGCGGGTCGGGGCGAGTCGGTGGGTTTTAAGGGTCTAACTTACACCCCTAATCCTAATGGCAGGTTTTCGGTGAGATCCCTTTACAAGAATATGGTGGAAGACAGGATTCAAAGAAATCAAACATTCCCTCACAAGCAAATCTGGAAGTCAATTATTCCAAGAAAATTTTGTTTTTTCTTGTGGCTGGTGTACCAGAACAGAATTCTTACTGTTAAACAACCTGAAGAAAAGAGGATGGTCGATGGCGAACAGATGTAGCCTCTGTCGCAGCGAAGAGGAAACGGTTGCTCATCTGCTCAATGATTGCGAATTCGTCAGGGAGGTTTGGCAAGTTCTAAATCGACACAAGACTATTATGAATCTGCAAGGAAGTGATATCCCATCAATCATTAAGCAGCACACAATTAGTAAACTGGACAGCGTGGAAGATTGGTTCAAAAACTGCATATTACATTCAGTTTGGTGGCTAGTGTGGAAGGAAAGAAACCTAAGGGTGTTCGAAAGCAAGGATTCGACAACATACTTTGTAGCAAAAAGAGCAGCTAGAAATGTAATGGAATGGATTACAACACACGGAAAGATCGATAACAATCAGGGAGAGAGCTCGTTCAGAGAATTGATGGAAGGGAACAGACTATGAAGGTGATCCTGGCGATCTTGGTGGGCAGTTCAGAATGATGTTGGATCTGTGTCTGTTTTTGGGACTGGCGATCCTGGCGTTCCTCGTACCAGTTGCTCTTGGGGATCGTTTCTGTTTTTGAGACTGTCCTCGGCTTTCAGATCAGTTTACTTTCGTCCCTCGTTCTTGGATTTTCATAGCAGGGGCGGTTCGGCCCGCCTTCCTCCTTTCTTTTTCTTTTCTTCTTCCTCGCTTCTGTTTATCACTGTTGGGTTCAATTCTGTTGACCCCTTCTTTGTACAGGTCCATGACTCTTTTTGGTTTCCCTTTTCTGGTAATAAATCCCATCACCATAATAAAAAAAAAGTTTATAATTTACTGTATATATAAAATAGATCTACATGAACATGATGAAGAATTACATAGGACAAAAGGTAAAAAAGAAATTCTGATATAGTAAGAAAGTATAAATAATTGTTACATTCATTTCACAAGAAATATAATAGTTTATGTACAAAGCATTTGAATCAATAACAATTTACATTACAAAAGAGAGTATTTACAATATAATTTCATCCTTCCTCGTCTATAACATTCTTCCATCTAAACAAACTTAGTATTGTTATTGTATCATCACCTGTCAAAACAACAATCAAAAGAAAAGAGGAATTGAATGTTAGTTGTTATGTGTACCAACAATAGACAGCAACAAAAGAGGAATTGAATGTTAGTTTATACACCTTACCTGGCAAGGGAAAGTTGTTGTTGTCACATTGGTTCCGAAAAAACTATATGAGAAAGTGTACATTCACAAAGCAATATCCACCAGTAGGGTCGAAATCTGTGCACAAGAGAAAGCAATAGAATTGAAAACTTGGAAATCCTTTGTCATGTGTGAAAGATTGAGCAGTGATAGAAATTATCATCAAAGGTTCTACTCCTCCAGCTTCATGTATCCATTCTTACGATTCACAAAAGCCTAGACAATATCAATGCTATAACGGAATCCATAAACAGAAGGGAAGAAGAGACAAACCCGAAGCCAGTGATCAAGGCTTGAAGCGTAACCCATGTCCGTCATAAATCCCTTGCTCATTCTTTATCGATCTTAAGATTTGTTACGAACGCCATTGAACAAGCTCCCATTTTTTTCACGATCGCAACCACCGGTCGCATATCTCGTCTACCTCGCAATCGAGCTCTCTCCTTCTCCTATGGGATTGGGACTCGGTGGCGGCTGCTAAGAAGCCTTCGTATAGTTTATGTGTGTATAGTATATGTTTCTTAATATATCCAACCCTAAAATATGTCCTCGCTAACCCACTGGGCCGCCTGAACTAAACTGATTTTGGCCTCTTAGTGCATGGCCAAACAAGTGTTAGTTTGGTTTAGTGTGACCTCATTATTATACAATTAGAAATGGACTTCACTTGTCATCAAAATAAATAAACAAATGATCCTCATTGATTTCAAATCTTCACATTTAACCGTTATCTCAAATTTTGTTTATACTTTAAATTGAGTCTAAATTCAATTTTGGGTCTTACCAATGAGGATTTTTACAATGTTTGGTGCTTTAGTTTTTACCTTTATGGTACAAGTTGAAGTTGTACCTTTAACGTTATGGTACAACATCAGGTTGTACTTATACTCTTTTGTAAAATCTCTTTATGCTACAAATTAAAGTTGTACATTTATGTTATTGTAAAACTTGAAGTTGTACCACAACATTAAATTCAAATTCCCTTATGATACAACTTCAATTTGTATCTTTAATGGGACAACTTAAATTTATATATTAAAGCACAAATAATTTAAAGTACAGTAAAAGTGCTCTTAATTAATACCCTACGAGAATAGAAATTCTTTCTCTGGGTGAGCAATTGAAACTGAAGAATTAAAATGGTGTGCTGGTGCATAACTAATTTGGTTAACTATAACTAATCTAAATACTAAAATAAATAATTAAACCAATACCCAAATGAGAAGAAAAATAATTTTGTTTAATTAAAGAAATCGACTTTCAACCTCTAATTTCAATGTGTTCCATGGACGTTTCGTGTGGTAATTCAAATTATAGTTATCTATAAAACAACACAATGTAAATAAATTTTATAAGCATTATTACAAAAAATTTAAAAATATGTTTGATAAATTCAATGGTTAGTATTTAAGAATTTTTATTTCATACCATTGATTTAGCAATACCTGGTGGTAGGGGTAGGCAATGGGTAGGTCCACACCTGGCCGAATCTATGTTTGGATCGGACCACACCGAATCGAATATAATATGGTTCGGTTCTTGATCCCATGAATTTTATAAATACTAAAGAAAAATGGACCGTATTCATATTTGGATCAGACCAAAGTAGACCAAAGTGACCGAACGCACTATTGATCCGGTCCTTAGTCCCAAGTTATCTTTCACTGTTGGACCGCGATTCTCTGAATTTGGTCTGATTCGGTCCCGACCAGACCGATGCCCACCCCTACCTGGTGGTATGGCAAAGATAAAAGGAAACGTCCAAAACTACCAAATTTTTTAATGCCATTTCTTGTCTCCCTAATTTTTAAACATGTATCCATTGAGAAACAAAAAGATACAAAATATACTTGTTCTAGCCACAAAGTTGTACTAACCATGACTATACCTTTGAGGTTTTCTACCAAATAAATACTTTGTCACAATTTTGTAAGCATAATTGCTACACAAATTCAAAATTACAGCAAATGATTGTACAGACATTGTTACAAAGTTATTTTTCGTGGCATAAAGTGTTTGAAGCAATACTTTTGCCACAAATATATTTCCGTCTTAGCTAAATACACCCACAACTAGCTATAGATGTTTGACCTAGCAAAAAGTTCATGGCTGAAGATATATCATTTGCCACAACAAATAAATTTCGAAACAAACCTATGGAAATAGCTACGCGTTATAACACTTGTGACTATACAATTGATTAAAAGCTACGAAGAATTTTTTTTATAGTTATTAGTTGGTATTAGCTACAAAATGTTTTCTCATAGCTATGAATTTGTGGCTATATAAGGCAATTGTTATAGTGAAGTTTTTCTAACTAGAGATAGAAACTACCTCCTCTGTATGAGTTTAACTGATCTACACACAAGCTTAATGAGTCAATGGTCATGCACTCAACTTGCAAGCATCTTCTTGTTGAGCTCCTGTAATTGGTAGGGGATGGTCACCTCATCCACCAACTTGCAAGCATCTTCTTGTTGTAGTGAAAATATACCAGGGCCAAAGTTGGAACAAATAAACTTATTGTATCGGATTTCAAAATAGATGGGAGTCTAATTATCTTCTAGTTGGGGTGGGTACTAAACTGCAAATGCTATAGAGAAAACTAAAAATAATAAAAATATGTACATGTAGTGGGAGGGCATCAAGAAAAGAATGTAGGTAAATGCACGCTCTCCCGCCCATCTGCAGCATGGCATGCTGGCCTCTCCTATATTCTCTTTATGGATCACACTGGTACACACTTCATTCATTAACACCTCCCTCCCAGCCCACAACAACTGCAAATATTAATAATGCCAAAAAGGAAAATGAGCTAGCGAGGGCGAGCAGTAGAAAAGTAATAGAGCTTTTTGACAGTGGCGTCCATGGGATCACTCCTTACATTAGTCCCGTCATCATCAGGACACGGTCATAAGCTAGATTGTGAATTAAGCATACAGGGTATCCGTGATGTACACTTACCTAAACTAAACTCTCTATTACAACCCTAATTCTTTTATTATTGTTTTTTAAAAATGAGGAATTTATAAGAAATCAAATGAGAAACATTAATTTTTTTTGTTGGGTGGTGTCAGGTGTAGGGATGGCAATGGGGCGGGTTTGCCTAAACCATCCCCATCCCCGCTTTCAAATATCTATACCCATACCCGCCCCATACCCATGAGGGGAAAGTTTTTGCAAACCCATCCTCATACCCATGGGTTTCGGGTACCCATGGGTAATACCCGCCCCGTACATCCAACATTATAATACGAAATATTTTACATGTAGACTTTCAATTATAACATTAAACGCACCTACTATATCATGAAGTTTACAAAGAGACAATAATTTTTAATACGATTCAAAGCATCTTATCCTAAAGCATCCATTAATCCATATCAGAGTAGAGTACTGTGATAAATCTATTAAGTAATAATTAACTAACATAATCTTGTTAAGAAGGGGAAAAAGTGAAAGAGTGAAGGGAAAATTGAGACAAATAAATTAGATTTTGATTTGGGTGGTCACTTAATTGCATTTCTACTATATATTTTTATCGAGTTATACTCACTATTATTGATAGGTTACAAATCGATTCACATATTTTTCATATGTGAAGAAATATTTTTGATGGGGCGGGTATGGATATGGGTATGGGGCGGGGGAGGCTAAAACCATACCCACCAAACTTTTTGCGGGTTTTACCCATACCCGGTCAATGCGGGAATTCCGCGCGTTGACTGGGTCGGGGGCGGTCGGATACCCGTGGGCATGGGTTTGATTGCCATCCCTAGTCAGGTGTGCTACTCAAGGATTTTATACTGGTTAATGGCCTAGATCGAACATGAAACATTAATTCACCGATAAAGATATGTCACAAAAAAATCTTACAAGCGGCCGGTGACTGGAAAAGCACACCACCATAAAACCCAATCTTCACTCAGATTCATTCCCCAACCTAAGAAAGGATCCAAAATAAATGTGACATTGATCTTCCATCTAACATTTTATGTCTAAAGATTCTTCTTGACGATGTGGGAGGATCCTCCATTCCACCTTACACAAGAGTTAGGGTGAAATAGTCACTACTTAAGGACTCTTTTGATCGAACAAACCCATTGTTATAAGAACGGATCCGGATCAACGGGTGGGCTAGTAGAACCGTCAAAACAGTTACGATAGCGGTCTGTTTCATTGCTTGGACGGTTATTGATGGACCAAACGTTTTTCCACGGCTCAACATAAAACCAGATGAACAACCACGGTTTAACTGGTCCAGTGGCTCACTATTTTAACCACAAATTTAAAAAAAAATATTATAACATAAACTAAGACCATCAAACCGTAATTATTAATTTTACATATGCTTCCGCTTCTCATTTTCCAACCTTGTTGTCAACTTTACGTTATCCGCTACCGATTAATTGGCACTGTAATTTTAAATTTGAATTAAAAAATTATGATTTCTTTTATGAGATAGTTTGAATGATTTAGTAGATATTTTGGTATGATATGAATTTGAAATTGTTTATGGTCAATGATAACTTTATTCTTAAATTTGTGTAATATACAAGTCTATCTTATGAACGGTTCTATCAACTGTTTTGTAACGGTTAATCATTGAACCCTAAATCACTGACGTTTTCGGTTCAGCCTCCCGTATGGTTATGAAAACAGAGAAAAAAACTTTCATCAGCCTATTCACTTATCTAAAAATGAATACATCACGAAAAACATATATGAGAATGAGACTCCTTTTAGTAGGGTCCGGCTTTCCAGAATTTGGACGATGATATCACTGGTCCAACGCGGCCCAGAAAACATGCCGACCAAACGAGTCCCTCTGTACGTATAACACCACAACCAAGAAACAAAAACCGCAAAATAACGAAGAAAAGAAGGGGAACAAACAAGAACGAACAAGAGGAAAGAACGAAGACCTGAGGCTAGCTCACTCTCGTCTTGCCTTTGTCCATGTTTTTTTTTTTTTTTTTTTTACCGTCAGGTAAACACATATAGGCACAGTACAGTAGGTGCAACCAAAAGCAAGTATAAGCGCTGCCAATTAACTGATGACTGAAGTGGAAATTGCGGTGAAAACAAAGGGTCAAACTCAATACACCCTTGTATAGCAAAACCCTAACACGGTGAACAGAAAGCGAATATATTTTTGGATCCAAAAAGTAAAACCAGCTAAAGATCTGACCGACCAGCCAGAACGATCGATTGCGAGAGGAATCTCTTATTGGAAGCTTCTTTTACTAAAGCCCTATACGGAAACCCACATAACTTTCACCAATACAAATGAGGAATCCCATACTGTACAAACACACCGTGGCGAAGTCAGGATTTTGAGAGGGAAGGGACTAAAAACTAGTTATCCGCAACAACTTCCCACGATTGAATCCTACCATTTTATAATGATTTCTCAAGATATGAATAAACACATTATCAAAATTCGAGGGAGGACTGAGGTCTTCTATACACTGCAGGCAGTGCCACCACTAATACGACACTCATACATATCAGGTCATGGAGAAACTGTTGACTACCCAAAAAAAAAAAAATTCCAAAGACTAATGTACATGAAAAGTTGAAGGAATAAAAATATTGATGGAGTTGGGAAGTTGTAATCAAGATTAATTCTATAGGCAGCGTCATGCTGGAATCAAGAGTAGATAGCAATAGCAATAGCATAGCCAATCCAATCCAATCCACAGGGAAAGAGCTATTAATTATTTATTAGCTATGAAATACCAGAAGCACACGTACAAGTAATAGGTCAACAGTCTAGCAAATTAGCAATCAACGAATGATGGTCACCGATTAGGACGTTATACTGACAATCCGGTCAATGCTTATCTCACTTTTTCCTCAAGTTCAACATATTGAAAAGAAAAAAAAAACTCGCAAAATATAGTATAAATAAATATATAGACTAGATTCACATAGCAATTATGGTTGAAAATTAAGCACTAAAAAATATAATAATATTGACCGCATTATAAATTTTTCGCCTAACCCGTAACCACTGACCGGCGCGGCAGCAGCAGCAGCAGCAGCAGCATTATCTGCTTAATTCCTTCCACAAAACCTGATAGATACCTCCTCAATTTCTGCGCGAAAAGACAGACACAACCTGAAAGCTTATCGACTCACACCAATTAGAGTCATTTCAGCATTTATTACTATTTAATTAACTCCAACGCCCCCGGAAGCTAGCTAACAAACAGCTGAAAAGGCACGGCAGTCGGCAGATGGGGTTCTTAAACAGTTAATCTTAACCAGACCCATCGGAAAATAATTAAGCAGCAAAATTAAGGGTTGATTAAACGTATACCTGAGCTTGGGAATTGAGCATCGCCGGCGGCTCCCAAACTGCTAATAATTAACGCGAGCTGGATTGCAAGGGGGTGCAGTGTTTTCATGATGGGGAAGATGGGCACATGAACCACTAACTCAGACTCAGTGGTGGGTTCTTCTGGTAATCAATTCATGGGGTGGGTGAATGAGTTAGTAATGCACGTGCCCTGCTTCTCCATCCTGCTCACACGCACCTATATACTTTCACCCCCCCAAAAAAAAAAAAAACATTGAAGAAAGAAACGGGGAGCTCTGGATTAGAGATTAGAATCAGTGGAATTGGAACGAGAAAGGGGAAAAGTTAAGAGAGTGGCTGTGAAACTGGGAAAGTTGAGAGGGAGAGGCAGTTCTTTTCTTTCCTTTCGCTAAAAAATGGTGGGAGAAGAGAAGGGAAGGCATCTATCTGGCAGTTGATGTAGTCAGAGGGAGGGGTGGGCACTCATTTATAACAAATCCGGCAAATGGAAGTGTGTGTCTATGCGAGCGTGTGTTTTTAATTAAAATTTATAAAGGCAAAATTGAGAGGACTGAGGAGGAGCGTAGTTTAGCTGTATAATCCTTTATAATTATTACATCAAGTTTTTGGGTGTGTTTGTGAAATTGTACGGATGGTTGTGGCTAAATTTGTAGATGAATTTTATATGTAAAAAACAATTCAATCACGCTTAAATCACAATTTCAGACAAAAGATTATCCTAACACTTATTTTTCCGATAGAACCTCCGCTACGGTTTTATGTAAAAATTTGTGTTGAGTGGCGTTCGATTTAATGGATGAGGTTAAAAAAATCAAATTTTTTAATTGATTTGTATTTTCTTTGTTTTAACACGAATTTTAAATTTCATGTATAGATAGAACGAGTTATTTGTGATCTACAAAATAATATTTATTTTCTTATAAATTTTGAGACAACAAATTGCGTGCCACTCTTTACCGCTTTTGTATCACCTTGTACCACTCTCTGCCACCTTCATTTTTATTCAAAAATTTGAATTTTTGTCACAGAAGCAACAAATTCAGCGTGTTCTACAAAATTTTTGGACCAAATGTATCACCCTATATATCTTGGTATAAGGTGTTAGATTATGGTGAAAACTAGTGGATGGTGGTTAGTATATTTCTAATATTATGTAGAACTATTCTACACTATCATATATTTATAGTGCAATAATGTACTTTCATACACCATGGGGTAATTTTATGTACTGCAAAACATTACCATCATGGTCCATGTATGGTATAGAGTTCTAATCTATCCATCAAACTTTTTTTATTCTTAAGTATATATAAAATAAATGTGAATTTGAAGAGAAGGATTGATCATAATTTTCTACAATCATATATAAAATCATTTTACATTATGACATATTTATATTATCATAGCATACTTTCAAACTCCTGTGTTGTAATTTTATTTTGTGCCAATGTAATATATGCTTTAAATATTTTTATTTCAAAATATATTGAAATAAATATCATTTTCAATATCCAGTTTTTATATAAAGTAAAATAAATTTCAAAATAAAACGAAAGAGGCGTTACCAGCAAGGCAAGAAATGAAAAGTTAGAGTTGGCTGTGGGCCCCAACTCCCGATTAATTAAAATGGGATTGGCTGATGTTATTGCATGCTCCAGCCATAGTGCCCCCCGCCCGTGCTGACCACTTCCCGGCTCCAAACCACTAAGTAAAGTAATAAACTATGAAATGCATCTCGTTTTATGGCTCCATCCATACTAAATTGTCAACCCCCGGGTCGATTTTGACCCGATCGAATTAATGGGTCAAGGGTAAATGGGTCACTTGCTTTAGTTCGGTTTAGTTTGGTTTAGTAAAAAAATATAAAAAAATCATTATATTATACTTATTTTGAATCCAACATAAAAAAACAATAGTACTTAAACTCCAACACACTTATATAACATTAACTTAAATTCAACATAGTAAAAATTCAAACACACTTTGGAACGAGCAGCCCACTGACCCGTTTAGACGGGCCAACCGTCCGGGTTTTCCCAGGTTTTACCATTTACGGGGTAACTCTCAAATGGGCTATTTTAAACTGGTTTTCAAGGTCGGATCCGGACCAACCCGCGAATTGACAACCTTTCTCCAAACCATCACTCTGACCCGCGGGTTGACAACCTTGTTCCAAACCATTACTCTGTCCACGAGTAAAATCAGTCACACGAATATTTCGTAACTAAAATAAATAAATTTAACTTGCCTACCCTTTTACCAGTATGCCCTGCGCACACCCTTGATTTAAACTCTAACCAATATTACAAAAAAAAAAAAAATCACTAAACCTCAACAAATGTGTGAAGGTTGGAACTTGGAACACCAGGCCGTTAACTGGCTGTCACAATAAGAAAAGTTGCTTGTTTGAGAAAACTTTAATTTGCTCATCAATAATTAATGCTCCATTGTGGCGTACACTTGTCGAAGCTTGATTACCTAGTTTCTTCGGCTTAATGCCGGTACATATATGTACACTAGCTAGCTAGCTTTTATCTCTCCATAAATGGAGGGTTGCCACTTGGGTTGTAACCAAACTTGCACTGAAAAAATAACCTCTAATTAAGCAAGGCATATCTGGCGTGATTTACTTTGCTATGCAAATCGCCAAACAATTAATTAATGATGCAGTTGCAAAGTGCACTTTAATACCAGTAGTACATACATAACAATTAACGCCGGTTTATTTTTGTGCCCTTACGTGAAAGGTACTTAGGTCCATACAGGTGTAGTTTTTGCACCTAGTTTTTGCAATCGCCAACATTTTAATTACAATTTAATTAATTTATTAGGTCATCCAGCTTCCATCTTAATTATCTACTCGAATCCTTACGAGAAATACAAAGTTATAACCGATGGAAGGTGGGGAAAGGCCGTAGTGGAGAGCCGGGAATCTAAATGAGGGGGGTTACAAATTTACGTTAAGAGGATTTGTTATATTTCTCAATAAATTTATCTGTAATTTTACGTGATTTTATAAATTGAATGGGGTGTAACCTTTCTGGATTTAAGTGGCTCGGGCACCGGAAACGGGTGAGGGGTATATCTAGGGCTGAGAAACGGTACGGTCTAGTCTGTACTAAAGTATAGATCAGAGACCAGAGCACAACCACATACTATATGGTCCATATCAGACCACGCATGTGCGGTCTGGTCCGGTATGCTCTAGTCCAGACATACCACATTGAACAAAAAATGAACACTTTATTAAGTCAACCACATTAAAAATTGAACCAATAACTCAGGAAAAAAATTCCTTTTTGCCTTAAAACATAAAATCCAACATGCATGAATAATTTTGACTCCCTAAATTTTAGTAAATAACAAAGATACAAAGTCACAAAATCCCAACTCGCATCATAACGTCACAAACATTAACATAATGTCATATGGAGACACGATCGTCTCTATTCTCTAGTGAAATGTGGTTGTCAATGAAGGAGGGGACGAGATTCTCAAAATTAAGGTATTGGAAAGTCGCCTAGATCCACGGTTTGGTCCAGTAAACTGCAGTCTAGACCAAACCAGATCAAGAGTGCAAAACTTTATATAATACAGACCATAAACCAGATCAGACCATTCTTTATGGCCTACGATCTACACCAAACTGTGTGATCTGATTTGGTCCACAGTTTTTTAAATCATCTAATCTATTTTCCTATATCTCTCTCTACCTATATTGGTGTGTACGTATGTATTATGTGTGTGAAAGAGACGTTGCTTTCACGATTGTTAAAGAGGGTAGGTAGTTCATATTTAAGCAGGGCCGGGGGAGTGGCCAGTGTGAGTAGTACATTATTCACAACGACGACAGCGCATTTATTAATTACATAGCTGGATCCATCGCCCTTATCCCCCCACTAATCTGAACTACATTTTGCCTTCATATGCGAGCAAAATGCACTGCAGCTTCTTTCTTTTTCCCCCTTTCAATGGCCAACCACCGCTAATTCCTTCCCCACCCCCCAACATTTATTTCTCTAACCTAATTATGGCTAAACTAATTACTCAAAACCGTGTGACAATTAGTTGTTGATGGTGGTACAAACCAAATAGAGACTACTTCAACACGATCAATTGGGTCGTCACCCTCAAGGTCTTCGATTCTGGAGTTTTGTAATGATATTTAAACTTGTATAAAGCTAAGCTCTGAAATCTCTCTGTATTAAATTGACAATTTTCAATAATATCATAAAATGTTTATAGTATTATACCGTAAATAAATTATTTTATTTTATTTATATGACACAAATGTGCTAAATAAATTACTTTTTTCTCAGTTGGTGAGCAACAATATTTATTTTTTTCTCAGTAGTCACGGATACTATTAAACTATATTAAATTACTTGCAGGAATGAGTGTAAGACCGTATAGGATAAATTAGTAGTAGTTTATTCCGTAGTCAAACGATGGTTAAATTATTTTCTGACGATAAATTTGAATATTAAAATAGGTTTCAGTAGTCTGTTTTTCCAATTGACGAAGCAGCCAATAATACTACACGGTTTAACAAATACTGTCATTTAGTCATGCCAAAGATGAGTTCCCAATCACATTAAATTATCTTACCTACGTGTAGTATTACATCATAAGGAATTCCTCCATGATGTAATTATGTTTTTTTTTTTCTCAGAGAGATTTTCGTGTAAAATTCCTTAATCTATTCTATTTATAGTATTTTACTCCAACTTCGTAACAGTGAATAACTTTTTGGTGTTTCTAAACATCTAGGCCGAAGTCATATAAATCCTCTTAGCCTCTTTCCTTAATCATATGAAATTTGACCTCTGAGAAATCGACAGGTTGATTAAGAAAAAAAGTTAAAAGTGACCGGGCGGGGTACAAAGATTTGAGCAATTTAGATGGATCGTTGGCTACGACGTCGTTGAACGATTTTGAAAGCGAACACCATGTTTTGATGTAGTGATGAGGAGTCTAAATTCCCCGTTCGATAGATGCTCGCCACAGAACATGCAATGCACACACTGCTGCCCAACTAGACATCGCGTCACTTCATCACATAGAACGCAATTGGAAAAGCAACAAAAAGGAAAAAACCAAGACAAGGTGAAGGGTAGCTAAGTTACGTACGTTTTGGCTTTGGCTTGGGTGCGTCAATTATTACAAAAAGCTTGAGAGGGCATGCAGTTGTCTGCAACTTCGGCGACAAAATTTTACTGCAAAAGCATCAGGCACAACACATAATACGGCAGCGCAATTCATCCCCCGCTACAAGAAAGAATATGTTCCTCCTCCCGGGAAGAGAGTACTGCTGGACGAAGAGGTTCCAAACAAGCCAAGAGAATCATCCACCTCAAAACTCTACGTTGCTATGGTTATTGTTATTATAATTATTACTAGTGGTTATGCCGCACCTTGTCGTGGAGCGGAGATGACCTACAGACATGTATTATGTGGCCCGTTATGGTGTTTTGTTAGTATTATTGGCCTAAAATTATTTTTTTTGTTTGCACCATTGGCGGATTCAGGGTGTGGCCACCCCGGGCCACGGCCCAGTCCTCCTCTGGATCCGGAGCTAATATAGTACTTATGAGTTTGTCGATTTTAGTCATTTGGCCAAGTGTTATTTTATAATAAGAGTGTGTGTAATTGAGAAAATGGGTTAGATGAACATAATCAAATCACAACTCTAAATTTAGCCTAGAAATTCTAGCTTCAATGATTCTCTTCTAAAGAAAAACAAACAATGTAACCTAAAATTCTAAGCGCCTAAAACGGACTAAAAGAACCGAGGTTTGCTCTCTTGAAAAATTACTAGAGTAGCTGGTGGAAATATGGATGAACACACAATACAAATTGATTAGTCGATTGATTTGTCTAGTATTGGCATTGCTTGTTTCAACAGCTACTATGGAGAAAACATTTTCAACAATGGAACAGGTGAAATATGATTTGTGTAACAAAATGAGCGATGAATTTATCGCTGATTGGTAAACTATTTTACTTGAGGGACATTAGTATGCTATTGGTATGAATGTACACTACATTATTGATGACTTCGCTATATTAAAAGGTCGATGTATACAATTGATATTGTTAAAAAAAATTATAATTTTTTACAGTGTGTAATTTTCTAATGAAATGAGGTCAGTGCACTACTATGTCCTGGATCCGCCGCTGGTTAGTAGTTTTGTTAGTAATATTGACTGAGAAGAGATATATGGCGGTCAACATCGAATTTAAATTTTTTTTTTTTTGAAAGTTTTGGCTAATAAATGATATTTACCTAAACTCTAGTAGACCCATTGATTATGGGTAGGGTATGAGTGATGCATATATGAATTTGGAAGTTTGTAGATGAGTGTGGGTAGGATATGGATATTTACTTCCATGATCTAAATGTGTATGAGTTGAGTATGGATACCCACTTATTCGAGGGTGTTTTAATTATACATACAAAAATTAGACCTATTTGTAGAACTTCACAAGTTTAGGTACCAAAATGTAATACACACAAATTTTAGGTACTAAAATATCAAGTTCCATCAATATTTGAAGACTTATATGCAAAAAAAAAAATTAGTTTATAAATCTAAAAATCTATTAAGTTTAGGTACCGAACTATAATTTGCATAGTTGAGGCTTAATTACTTTTATGGTGATGTATTTGAGATGATAATTATTTACCTTTTTATAGAAAAATGGAAATTTTTTATTTGATATGTGTAGATACCTTGCCAAACATTCCATGTATAATTGTTTAAAATTCTAGTCCGGGTGAAAAAGAATAACTCTACAGAAAAGTAAAAGGAAGGGAGAATCTCACTACCAATTCTTCTTCACCATTTTAATAGAAGCTCTAGGAGGAGCAGAAGTGGTAGTGCAATTACTGGAAAAATTAGCTTCAATGGAGAATCCCGAAGTAAAGTTTGAGATTAGCTTTGAAGAGGAAGATATGATTAATGAAAAGCAAAATACTATCAAGAAAACCCTTTAGGGTTATGGATATTTCATCCTAGTGCATGAAACGAAGAAAGATACAGGGAATTGCATCACCAAATGTCTTTTGGATGACCATCAAATAGAGAAGTGTTTAATTGATCTTGGTGCAAGTAACAACATCCTAGATGTGCATATCTATGAGGAAATAGGATTGACCAACATGAAGGACGTCAACATCAAGATCATACTTTCCATTAACACATCATGTTCAAAGGCCTAAGTACCGAAGTTGGTTTATTTATATTCATATTATGTTGTGATTGATATGAAGATTGATGAAGCATATTCAATCCTTTTTGCGATATCATTCCTTGCAAATGAAAGGGCAAAGATCGATGTAGCAAAGGGAGATATTATCCTATATGTAGGGCATATTATGCATCGAGTGATGAACACCATTGACGAAGTACTTGGTGATGATGATTTTGATGAAAATGAAAAGATAGAGCCAGAGAATGAGATCAATATCAAATTAAGATCTCTAATTGAGGATTCCTCAAATGCAATCTATCATCATCATGATATCATCAAATGGCACTTCACATACTGGCATGGTCAATACAAAGCCGAAGACGATGTTAGAAAAGAATTTAGGAACTGCATTGCGAAACATTGGTGACTCGTTCTAACTACAACATCTCGATTGACGGCCAAGCATAACCGCCGACCGGGTGTAGTATAGGGCAAGCAAGCAATAATGATTTATCGTACCACGGGATCTTGGCTTACCCTACTTCATGTTTAGGGTTCGTTATCTAACCAACCTAGAGTAGTGATTAGGAAGGGGAAAAAAAACTAATCTAGCTAACCACTAACCTAGCTATTTACAAGAAACAGATGATACAGTCATAGATTTACATCAAGCATCGATGATAAAGAAAAAAGTTATGAAAATCCCCAAATTGTCTTAATCGCCGTCGATTATGCTCCTAAGTCAACATCAAGTTGACCCCCGTGAACCGTCTGGTCAACCGTTATCTATAACGGTTAACGAAATCGTTAGAACATAAATGACACACAACTATTATACGTTGGGACATAAATGGAATATTGAATAGTTCGGAACACAAATGACACTTTCTTGATAGTTCAGATTTCCTAGTGGTATCAGCCTTAAAGATAATAAACACAATATGCATCTTATTAATCATAGAAATAGATGGATGAGCCATCATAGAATTCACCTTCGTAATCAGATTGACTAGCACGCCATAGAGAAGTCGAACAACATCACCATAGATACATGCATCGATGGTGGATGCTTTTCCTTTCAATTTTAGTAGCAATTCTCCTCCTCTCTATTGATTGCTACTCATGCCCCTAAGGCAGAGTGGTGGTAACGGTGTGTACAAAAGCTATAGCCTCGCCTTCTATTTATACAGTTACAGAAGGGTGTTTTCTAGTCCTTTTCCTACAATATTCGGTCAAATCCTTCCTTATCCGATTTGAAGTGGAATTCCTTCAACTTGTGGACGAAGTAACTTGTTGATGAATTCTTCTAGAAGCTAGGGCACAAGAGGCAGCCCTATGGCGCTTGGAACCGCCGATGGATTTTCTTCTCCAAATCGGTCCTTTTTTTGTGGGCGACTTCCTCTCGGGCTCGTGGTCGTGCTTCTAAAATTTCAGCTCATTTGGACTTTATTTGACCTGTCTACTCTTCAAAATACTCTCATCTGGTCCATAACTTTAGCTTTCGGTGTCAGAATCCATCTTCGTTTTAGCCAATGAGCTTGTATACCCGATATCTTTCTAATTTATTTGGTCTCTTGGTTATGCATATTCGTCTTAAGTGTACTATATCTTTGTAAAGCACAAAACAACGTCAAAAGACGTAAAATAATACAAAAACACACTCAAAGTCTATCTTAATCTTATTATACTAGCAGTTATGATTTTCATATAAAGTATAGTCAAACCCACCAAGTACGCATTGATAGAAGGGGAAAAAAGAAAGTGATAAACACTATAAATAGAGTGTCATCACTTTACTTTTATACTTTACTTTACCTTGCCTATATAAACTCAAAAATTGCCTAAACATTTCCATCTTTTATTGCTTTGTGTGTCGAGCTATGAGTAGTTATATGTGAGTAATTATTTCTATCTTTTATGACTTGATTGTATTTTATTTGTATTTATATGAATACTACACGAAATGCACATCAACCATCATATCTATAGTCAAATGAAGCAGACAGAAACAACACCATCAAATGAAAAACAACTATTACCAATTCTACCCTTCATGGCTTGCGTATTCATATGGATGCTCCATGAGTTTCACACCTTTTTCTTCGCTGATGGCTCTTACTTATCTCTTTCGGCTTCCTTTACGGAATGTATAAACCTGTTATAAATACTTCATACCTATGAATATGCTAGCAAACAGCAGGTCAATTTTCGAAATTAGTTGTTACATTATGTGATGTTTCAGACCTTGAGGCTCCTAATCAAGATTTCCTACTTGGTGTAACAAATATTGGTGTCCAAGTTCGCTATCTAGGTCTTCCATCTCAGGTTCACCATTCCAAAATACAAACCTTTAATGTATTGGGGAACCCTTGGTAGCCCAGGTACGGCGTAGGAAGTTAAAACACATGTCTCTAGCTGCTAAAGAGGTAGTCATTAAAGCAATAGGTATTGCAACGCCAATCTTTTCAATGTTATGCTTTAGGCTCACTTTCGTAAGTTTTAGTAAAATGAGTGGCCAACTACCCACGTTTTGTTGGCAGACCAAGATGAAGAGAAAGGTTTGCACCAGATATCGTGGTTTGAAATTTGTATCACCAAGTTCAAAGGAAGATTGAGATTTTGCGACTTTGATAGTTCAGTGACTTAATGTTAGCCAATCAGGCTTGAAAATTTTATGCAACCCATTAAATATTCTTGCCAAAATGTTTAAGATTGGTTACCACCCTATTACTGAGCATTTTTTGCTAGCCTGCCAAAGATCCCGACCTTCATGGGCTTGGCAAGGCATCATTGACGGAAGAGACTATCGATTAAAGGGCTTTGTTGGCAAGTCGGGGTGGGATCTAGGATAACCATCTTGTAAGATCTCTCGTAACTAACAAATCATCCCTCCAGCCCCGCCCTACTAATAGGTGCCATCCTAAAACATCCAGTGGTCTCCTTTCTAATGGATCCCATTTTTATGGTATGAAAGTGAATCTACTCAAAACCTTATTCCATTATGCTTCTAACGAGCATATCTCGTCCATCATGCTCACATCTTCCCCTCAAGAAGACAAGTTGGTTTGGCACAATGCTAAATCTGGCCAATACATAGTGAAATTACGCTACCACCTCATTTTATCTAAAATAAACCCACCACATAATGATACCTCAAACTACATGGATACTAAATTTTGGAAATATTTATGAAATATCCCGGTACATCCTAAACTAAAATTCTTCCTTTGGAGATTGGTGTGTTGATTCCTACCCGTGAAAGGAATCCTTCACTAACATAAAATTATCTTCTCAAATTTTTGTTTTGTGTGTTGTGAGACCGAGGATCTCAAACACCATTTCTTTGACTGTGGAATAACTAAAGAACTTTGATTCGTAATAAACTTAGATCACTTGCGAGTCATTATTTGAAGAGTAGATTTTTTGATTTAGCAAGGAGAAACCTATTCTTCACTCCACAATTGGTAGTTCATGTGGAGGAATGGAAAACAGCGGAGACACAGAAGGTTATGAAGTCCCCATAAGTACAAAGGACAATACCACAGTCGTCCACAATCTATGGTCTTCATGCACGAGTTTCAGACATTCCCTTCCCTAGTAGAGGTATTTTGGTGTGATTTGATAGGGCCACAAAGAAATCCAAAGGATGTGCAACTAGTTTTGTCTGCTTCTCGTGTTGGCCTTTGGTAAATTTTATACGATGGTTTCTGTATGCTTATATATCAGAACTACTTGTCATACGTGATTCTATGAGACGATGTCTTACACATAATTTCTTGTTTGTTACTTTTTGCTAAGACTCTCAATTGATCATCAAGGATGCTACATCCAAAAAGTCTTCTCATTCCAGAGTAGGAGCCATTTTAGAGGAAGCCCACTCTCTCTTCTCTCCCTTTGTGTTAGTATCGTGACATTTTGACTTTTATTGAATGTTCGGTTGTATAGAACTAATGATCCTGATTATTTTCAGTCTTATAATTTTGTTGTCCGGGGACTTATCTTCCATATAACGAAAAATATAAATCTCAATTCAACTATTCGCTTGACCACCCATCCTTGATCCCTTAGACTTTAAAAGTGTGTTGTTTGGAATGGAATGTTACGCAATAAATAGTAACACTTCATGATGGCTAGTAAGTAGACTACACCTAATTGCCCATTTAACCTATCGTGCACTGTTGCGTGGGCAATGATTTTGATCATGCTAATTAATTAAACTAGTGACCGAAAACACTGTTAATGGAAGATTATGGACTTAAGCATCAAAAGTAAATCTAATGGGGGACACGCATTATTGGACGGGCTTTGTGCAAATGGCTGAGGAGGAACTTGGAAAGTAGCATTTGGAGCCCTGAGGCCAATAAGGTTGAAAACACTACCAGACCCATCCACATCAAGCTCAAAAGTGACATTAAAGCAGAAGCTAGATAGCTATGGGGAGAAAAAGATTTCACTCATTTCAAATCGAAGAAGATCGGCAATCTAATCTTAAGCATTTATCATTTTTATTGTTGGGTAATCAAACCACATTCTCCACTTTATGGGGTAATGATTCAAAATGGTTACATAACTTTACATTTCTCCAAAATGGTCACACAACTTTTACTTTTACCAACCTAGCTTTGAGAACTTGTAAAAAAAAAAATGGTCACTTTCATCATCATAATTAAAACTTCTCTTCAATTTCACCCGCCAAACTAACAACGAATATAGCAAAATTCATCAGCACCTGCACCAATCCTCCAGGGTAATAGGTAACCCCATAACCGATGTGTAAAGGAAATCAACGTGCCATATTCTAGACGATTAATGTACTCTAGATTGCAATTAATGCACTCTAGATTACAATTAATGTACTCTATCATTTTCTTACAAATTTTCAAAGTTTGCACCATCAGTTTAGATAAAGAGGTAAAATCTATGCTTCATAAAAAAAAGTAAAATATATGTGACCATTTGGAACAACCAAACCTACTTTATGCTGGAGAGTGGAGAGGAGTGATCAGTTGTCTTGTTTAGGTGGTAGTGCACAGAAATTTGGCCCATTGACCTGGCATTCCACTCCCATCCTAATCCTTGACAGTGACATAACTAGGAACCAACTTTGGTTTCAGACAAAACAACAAACAAAGACCAATTTATAATTTAATCTCTCACCATTTTAGATCTTTTTTTTCTTCTTCTTCTTCTTTTCCAGAAAACCTGCACTCCACTCAACACCAGTCCACAGAGGATAGGGAAAAAGGAGTGGAAAAGCTAGATGCATTTTGGCAATTTGGAACATTGTTTAAAAAAAGTTTCCCGGTAACAGTTATTATGTTTTTCAGACATGTCAATTCCTAAGCCCATACTTGACATCACATTCTAAAAGAAGTAATTATAAAAATGGAAGTGAGAATAAGGGGGATGGATCACCTTGGTGAGTGGTGGGGGGGAGGAGGGTTAAATCATATCACGGGGAGATTTTTGAGCAAGGAAAAGGCGCAGACAGGTCTGGAAGTAGGTAAAGGTGCTATAGGATACTCTTTGGTGTAATGGGCATATCACTAAGAGCCCCATATGTGACAATAATTTCCCAACAGTGGTGGTGGTGGTGGAGACAAATGATAATGATGATGGAGTTTAATTTATATATTAATGGAGGTTTCATAATTATACATCTTTATGGGGTCTATGTGCAAGGCTAGCAGCAGCCTCAGATGTTGCTACCAGCTAGCAATTCCTGTTAATATGATGATGGATTTCAATTCCTGTTAATATCACCAACATGTGTATCTAAAATGTTGATGATGTGGGCATACGATTGGATGGTGTTAATTCACATCGCCTACTTCTTTTCAACATGTTAGCGAAAATTTAATATTGATCGAGGTTCAAAACATATACCGACATACAAACTTGAAATAAAAATCAGATGACTTTTTCACTACGGTTAGCTAATCCATTAACTCTCCTGTAAGTATTTCTTTGGTGTTTGATATTTTGATTATTTTAAACTCGAGTTTAATAATTAATTTAATTTTCTATCTTATAAGTGGAGGATCAAATTTCGTTGGTTCAAATCCTGCATATTGAATTGCAGTGTAGAAGCGACCTAGAATACTTAACTTATCATTAGTTTTTAGAACGGCTATAAAACAATGATATTTTTGTGCAAATCATAAGTGACCAGTTTTTAGAAAATATACTATACTCCAAGTACTTATAGTGAGATATCTCTATCTAGACCATGAATTAAAGAAAGTTTGGGTTACGATACTATAATCTAACATCTAATGGACAACGGCGGATCCAGAATAGGTTAGAGCACTGGGCCGCATTTACAAAGCGGTGAAGAAGGCTGGGCCGTAACCCTATAAACATTGAAATATATACCAAAATCAGAAATTTACAAATACTATACGAGCTTTAGATCCGGGGAGGGTTGGGCCGTGGCCTTCTAGATCCGCCGCTGCTAATGAATAAATCTCATACTCTGATTTTCTAAATCACTCAAAATTCTATTTAATAGAAAATAATAATTGACCGTTAAAACTGATGGGAGCTTATAAAAAATACATCTAACGGCCATAAATACTTCGGTTCCAGTGCAGAATATCCATCGTCGTTGGCTAAAATAGTCTTCACGTAGTCCTCAATTAGTAAGCTTCATCTTCTCTCCTAATGATTATCATAATATGTGCTCAACCACTCAAAATCCTATGGCCTCCTGTAACTATTTTTTTATCCTTTTTTTCTTCTGTTGATCAACGTGGTTTTTACTTTAGTCTTTACATAAATTTGATAAATGATACGA